TTAAAAATAACTAAAAAAACCAACAAGTTATTTAATAACAAGTGTATGTATTTATACTACTTTTAAGTATGTAAAATAGCATTTAAAATTTGTTAGTTTTTATAAATGATTTCCGCTAAGATGACGTTCATCTTGAAGGAAATATTTGTCGGGGCGTCTATGAAAACAGAACGTAACATTTCGTTAAAAAAAGCCATTAAATTAGGCGAATATGGGGGGGGGGATATCCTAATTTTGATAAATTAATCGGTTCAAAATAAATTCGAATAAATAAATAATACTGGAATTTAAGGCTTGTAATTTTTTTTTTTTGTAATCAAAATAATTTGGCACTTTTGTTGTATTGGTATCAGTAGAATCGCAGAACTGTTCCGTAGACCGCCATAATGTATGCTCGCACCATTATCATTCTCGGTGTCATAGTCGCGTGTTGTGTCAGTATTGAATTTTTCATTTTTTTCACTCTGATGAAAGACTATCACAATTTTAAATACTGATGTACTTATTGCTTTGTAATTAATCATATATTTTAATAATATTCTGAAAATTGAAAACCGCGATATTTGCTGTTACTTTTTTTTATACTGGTGTTTATTAAGACGAAATTTAAGACTGCACATTTAGGTTTGTGACCGTTTTGCATGTTGTGTTGTACATAAAACGATAAAAAAATTAACCATGCAAATTTCATTGATAAAACATTAACAAATTGATATTCTGGTTGATATTTGAAATTTAAAATTCGTTTTTCTCAAAACAACACATATCACTAAGTGGTGGTCTTTCACCACGAGTGGGAATTATCTAATGATATTTTAACATACTCGAAGGCGGTACAAATAAATTCGTTAAATAATTACTTGTTGGCTTTTCACAGTTATTTTTTAATCGCCCGTTACGTTGCGCAACTAAGTATTATTAAAATAGATACATTAATAATAACAATAATAATAATAATAATAATAATGATATAACATTATAAACGTCGTACACGGTTTTATTATTGCCGAGGCTATTATCACCAACTACCGTAAATACCGAAACATGTAGGCTCGTGAGTCGCCCGCGCGTGTGGCCGTCAGTGCAGGCATAGCGGCACGGGGGTCGCGGTGCGGAAAACGGATCGTTCCGACGCCACTGGGTCCGACCAGGGTGCCGGAGGCGTTGAATAATTCAAAACGATCTCGCGCTCGCGCCGCCGTTAGACCGGCGACGGTGCATACATGTATATATGCAACGCACATATTACTGCCGGCGCGTCGGGTCTGCGGGCGGCGGCGGACGGGTCGAGTTTATCGCGGATGGCCGGGAACGACTGGACGGCGAGGGAGTCGGCCAGGAAAGACGCGGTTATGAATTTTCCATTAATAATGCCATTTCTTTTCGACTCGCCGGTACATTGTGTTATATTGTATACGGGATTGCCGCTTTCGCGAAACGCCCTCATCAATTAAATCGCCACTGTATACGAATAATATGTTTTTATCATCGCCGGAGTGTATAAAAAGGGACCGCGCGAACGGGCGACCGGGGAGGGAGGTGGGGGGGGGGTGCAGTAGTGATAAAAGCGTCTCTTATCAATCACCGCGCCCGAACCGAAGCCGTCCAAGCCGTTCGTGTTATTTCGAAAAATCACCCCGACCCACGACGCCCGTGCCCCCGTAGATATGATACAACGAAAATAATAATATTTTATCGTTCGGCTTCGTGGCGAAACCCTGTAAGTCAATTATATAGAATTGTACGGGTAGGAAAAGCTTAACACTGCGGCGGGTTTGAAAATTTCGATATTTCTTCGTTTTTCACTATCTATTTAAAATACATCATCATATATTTGATATTAGCTAGGTACTTGCTTTAAAAAAAACAATGTATAAATGTATATGTATTTTTAATTTTTTAGTGTAGACATTTCACAAACGAGATTTTGAAGAAGTACCTATAGTTAACTACCCGAAGCCGACTTAATGAGGTTTAAAAATGTATTACTGATACGAATTTCGTTTGATCAAAAACCTTGCAAGTCAGTTTGAGTTCATATCTTTTGTATAATATTGTCATAGGTATCATGCAAATACGCGAACATTTAATCGCACTAAAATTAAATAACTGTGTAGAATAAAACAGTATATCCATTAAAAACAAATTTATTATTTTTACTTACTACAAGTTATGTTACGAAGCCGACGTAATATTTTTGTTATTATTTGTTTTTGTCTGCAAATTAACTCTCATCAAAAAAAAAAAAAAAAACTGCGCTGTTTATTTGAAATTGTAGTAGTTATTAATTATATTCCTATAGGATTTTTTTTCTTTTCTATCCACGTATATTGTTTTCGTCTTAAATAATGTCGACTCCCTGAATTCGACTCGTGTTCTTTCCGCAGTCATCTTATTCATCGGTATTTATTATTATTTGCTGAACTACGTAATACGCATTTATAAACGAAACTGTTAAAATGTCTGTACAAATTATATAGTTTGGTACTTGATTGATAAGTATTGACTTGTACTTAAAACATAATATTAATATTTTTTATTTTCTATTATACGGACAATATAATATTGTTAATAATTTATACGCAAACATATTTGTTGTGTACAATTCACCTATTACGTAAGTTACAACAAAAAGTCATTTGATAGTAAAATAATTATTTACTCGTTCCCCTCTTATTGTATTTGATCTTAAAGTACAGGTAGTTTTAAATAAGTGTAAAATAATTAATTATTTTATAAACGGAAGTGTTTAATTTAATTTAGAGATATATACATCATGCTGTGCGTAGTCGTACTATATATATTTATTAATAAAAACAAAACAAATAAATATATAGTTGTTATATATTTCAAACAAGAATTCAATTTGTAAAAACGAGAAGAAAGTCTAATTTAGTTTTGTTTATTATTACGAACATGTTTTACTGTATTCAACAAACAACGTATTATTATTGATTAATTAAGCTACCTATCAAATTTTCGATAAAATATAATTTTTTTTTTTACTTGCAAATTGAAAATAAAGTTCATATTAAAGATAATAATGTAATATCAATGCTAATTAATATCTTATATTATTCATGTAAATACGCGAAACGTAAATTCTCTATATTTTTACATTCTTACTAAATAATGTAATGTAAAATTATACCTGGGTTTGAAAGTTTTAGATACTCTTTTAGGGGTATTTAGGGGTCAACTTTTGAAATTCAAATGGCAACCTACATTAAAAAGCCCATAGATTGATGGAATATTTATTTAAATAAATTCTGGTGTTGACATTTTTGATTTCCACCAGCCCGTTGCGAGATATTACACTTTTTAGTTTAGGCAGAGGGAGAGTAGTGGAACACTGTGTGCTTATGTGGTGGCATGGCACGATACGCCGTAATTGAGTAATCGGTGTATTGGGAGTTCATTTTTTCGATTTCCCTAGTAGTTTTCATAATAATTGGGAAAAAATGAAAAAAACGTAGGAAACATGTGAAAGTTTACGACATTAATGATTTCGTTATTTTCGATTTTATTTTCAGTTGTAAACCGGTTAAAAAATATCAAAGAGTGTTAAAATTTTCAAAGAACACTTTATAATAGCCTTATATAGACGTCTTCAAAATAATACAGATGATTTTTGAACTAATCATAAGAATTATAAATTTTTGAGTTTTTTTGATTACTTAGTTTTTTTGGTAGGTACCATGTGATTTTCCCAACTTCTGATATATAGCATTGCCATACCCATCAGCAGTATAAGCTATTTGTAGACTATGAGTGGAGCGAAGAAGCTTATGGTTTTACAAAAATATATATTTTTATTTCTGTGTGCAGCTTTTCTACCAGTTATTCTGCTCCAACTTTTAATGATAAAATGTTTCAAAAATTAAATTTCACTAGCAAGGTACTTTAAAATGGTAATTTTTTTAATTTTCCAAAGAGTTTTCTCAGCAAATGTGAAAAACGCAGGAAAATTGGGAAAATCGGTACTATTGATAATATTAAACAAATTTTACTAAAGAAAATATATAAAGCCTATTTATTTATTTTTTTTTTTACTATAAAATGACATTTATATTGTTGTATCAGTATCAACTGAACTCAGCTCAGAATCATTTTTTCGTAAGCTATGGTTTATTGTTGCTTACAGATGTACATTAAATTCCCGCCTATATCTTACCTTCCCAACTTCCCACTTACAACAGTGGCTGCATCCGTCCCCATTATCTTACCTTTCTTTTTTTATTAATTGAAATATACTTAACAACACGTACCTATATAGATAATTGCTTTTAGAAGGTAATAATTATTGCTTTGAAATTTGTAATATATACTATATACTATGGGCCTGCCCCTATGATGATTCTTCCATAACGTTGACCTTATTTATTGCACGACTCTTTTTTTTTTTTTTTGAGTTCAAAATATATACTCCTATACAAGTGTATTGTTTTGTTCTAAAAATTACTATAACTTTTATACTTAAAATTTAATACTGCTGATTTTAGGACGAGCGTTAGAAAGGAGCATATGATTAATTAATGTAATATATATCAGCTGTACGTAACGATAAACCATCGATAACAGAAAACACTTTAATAATAAAAACTAAATATCTTTAAAATATATTAGTTATATTCCTTAATAATATTGGTTTTAAACGATATTTCAAACAATAAGAGTGTTTATTGAATAATAAAATAGATAAATTATTATTATATAAATATACACATTTACACATGTTTTACATGAATGCGCGATTCAATACAATTGTAAAACTATGATAGATGCAATAGTGTATTATGTTTATATTATTTAAGATTCAATTAAGGAGTGTAACCACAATATATACCATTGTCTGACAACTGATTGACCTTCGTATAAAAAATATCCACAACATAGACATAGACACGCGTGTTTAAGTGGGAGACCGACGATGTTAGTTGTGTAATGCTTGTTATTAAATCGTCCACAGAATCGAGTAGTGTTGTTTGTGTTATTTTTTTAATTTTTTTCTTTATATATTCGAATGTTTGTTTTGGCTGTGGTTTTCAAACGAATATTTCAAAAACAAAACAAAAACACAGGTATGTATTAACGTATTATAAATATTTTTATGGTAGGTGTTTTACATGATATTTTTCAATCGATACGGAACAAAAAATGTATTTCTTTACTTTGACAACCAAATTTTTTTATGTACGAGTGTAGTTTTTTATTTGTATATTAACGCTCTAATTCGTTCATCATGTGCATTGTCCATATTATACGTATTTCCTTGATATCTTTTATGTTTTTCATAATTCTAATAGTGGTCGAGTCACAGACAAATGATTTTAACAATAATAAAAAAAAATAAACCGTTAAAATGAATCTATATATATATATAATAATATATATATATATAATATTATATATGTACAAATTAAATCTTTTTAAAATTCAATGAGGCTAGATGTCCGATAAAGTTTTATATTAAAAGAAGATAAAAATAATATTTAATTGAATTTTTGGAGAAAATTAGGTAGGGTATGCTTATAAACAGGGCAAGCATTTATATGCTATAAAAAATTTTAAAATATACATTTTATTTACCACAATAGATAAAAATGAAATTTTTTTCTATCAAACATATAAATTTACTTACATGTCAACACAAGTCGTACTAATGAAAAATAACTAATGCAGCCGATGTTCGATATTATTATCGTTTGTTAGTATTTTTATACTATTTTACAATAATTTATGTTGTTAAATAATGTGTAGGTAATACAATATAAGGTTTATGTTAGCTAATATTTTTGACAAATAAAATAATAAATATATACCATTTTTATTATAAGATTCACAAAAATTTAAGTATGCAATTTTATGGAGGGTGTTTAAAATATGAAAAACTATGCAAAAACAAATAAAATTGTTCTGTTTTATCGAGGATAAACTAAATCGTGGTAATATCTGACAACCAATCAATTTGGACTTAAGGAAAAGAAAATATGCAAATGCAAAAAATCTCTACTAATGAACTATTTAGACGGTCGTGGATAGTAGAGTATTGAGTTATTTATTAGTACTGTTCTTCGACCACTTAAATTGTTAAAACATTTACAACAGCTGCACATGATTTACTTAATAAGTATAATCGGTATGTAACGGAAATTGAAAAAAAAAAAAAATTTTAAAATCTAATCTGCTATAAATGATTTAAAATCGATGTAATAAATAATTGGTTACCACAAAATTATTAAATAATATGTATACTTGTTTTTTAATTTGACCAAAATGGTTAATTTTTTTTTGTTCCATAATAAGTTAACCATAACACCAACCTGTCTAACTATCGTTACATAACGATTTAACTTATACCCCTAATGTTAAAATTCGAAAAATGTGGAAATATAATACTGTAGTCGTGATGTTCCTTCAGTTCAGTGCGTGTTCAAATAATTTAAGTGTGTCGTTGCCATTAAAAGTATTACGAAGTACAATAACAATTTGCTCGAGCAATACCTAGTCACGCATCATAGTTTATCATCCTAAACTATGTGTAGGCAGGTATATCATAATATATATCTGAACAAAATTCACGAAGTCTTATATAGAACTTATAGATAGGTTTCTATCGTAAATCACGATTAGATATTTTTAATTTTATCCGGAATAATTATTTTGCCACCTCGGAATGGAAACATTACATAAAATTAAAAATAATTGTCTGACCTTCTATAAATTGTATTATTTATACTAAGGAAAATAAAGGTCTGTAGTTTTTATTTCAAAATCAAATTAGTAAAAATTATTGTTTGTGCATTCCTCTTCGTAAATTCATATTCACGGAAATACTCGAAGGATTATAATTGTATTTTTAATGAAATTATTTTAATTTTTAATTAATAATAAATATTATTAGTATATATACCATCAATCTATCTTTATAAAATACGATAAATTGTAATATTTTAATGAGTTGTTAATAAGTATAACAACATACTGTATTATGTTATCATGAATAACAAAAAATTACTTCATTTTTCATGTTGATTATTTATATTATATTCAAATATATAAAGAATAAATGTTTAAATAAATTTTATAAAACAGAAAACGGGTTATTCTATGTAAAGAATAATCAATTAAAATTATTGAGATTACAAATTAAACACATAAATAAATCTAAGTATAAATACATATTTATTTTAGAGATCTTAATCCTTTAGAATAAAGATGATTCTAAATTTATATAATAATGTATTTCGTAGGTTATAATATCACAAAATCAGGTTAACTTGAATTTTTCAAAATATATGAGCGTGACACATGAATAACAGGAAATAGACTGACGTTATTAACAAAAGTGATATTATAACATACAAAATGTATAATATTGATCACTTAATATTCTATCACTATTTTCATACAAACTCAGCAAAATCCAAAAAATCAGTTTTTGATAATTTCAAGCAATCAATTTTCACATAGATGCAACTATTTCTAGTATATTTAGAAGTAGTAGTAGTAGTAGTAGTAGTAGTAGTAGTATTAGTAGTAGTAGGAGTAGGAGTAGTTATACGAGTAGTAGTAATAATAGTTGTAGTTGTAGACTTATTAGACGATTATCTTTTGTTTTTCAAAGTCGATATTCATAGGGGAGTATGGTTTCTGTGTAAATAGATTTATGTATTTTTTTTGTCTGGTCTTGGTTTCTATAGTGTATAAAAATAAACTTTAAGTATTAAATAATTGAAACTTGGAATATATAAAAAATATTTTATTGAGATTTTTACTGTAAAATTTGTTTACCAAAGTAACCTATAGTATTGCTCCAAAATATTTAATAATTATTTGTTAAAATATACTTATTGTGATTTCTACGCTATTGAAAATTTATAAAACAATTTCAGAATTGTATCAACAATACTTTTATGAAGTTAATATTCAAAATCTCCAAACTATTTATGGGGGTTAAAATTAGTATAATTTTGTTGTTTTTAACAGTAGTTGAATAATTTTTTATTTGTTGTTTTTAAAAATAATATAGTAGATACTTCCCGAGCACAATCGAATACAAACAATGAATTTATGTCTAACGTATAGAACGCTCTTTAACGTTACTTGTATTATTTATTCTTTAGTGACGTATATTATAGCCTCGTGAGAATTTACTAATTTAGAATGGTGGGATAATGGAGTTTCCATTGTCCTACCACTTTAAATTAGTAAATTCTCATGAGGCACATTCTATAATATCTATATAGATCCTAATTCATTGATAATATCAGTGGTTTAGAATTCTGTATGTAATTTAAACCTGTAGTATAATTTTTACGTATATACTAAACTTATTTTGCTTGTGTAAGCTTATCTACTAGAATATAGGAATATAACTTTATTTATATTTTGAATTTTTGTTCCGGAATTGACAATTAAAATATATTTTCTAAAACCGTGAGAAACTATTAAACCGTCGAAAAATGTTAGGTAATAGGTACGTAGTAATTTTATTTGGTACGGTATAAAAATGACTTTCGTTTTGGATTTATCGTAATTTCGAATTAATATAGGTATATCAACTTGTTGGATGATTTCACTACAAAGAGAATGCTCTAGTGATTTACATAACATCGATTTGTGGTTAAATTGTATTTTACTATTTATATAGATTTTAAAAATCCGGCTTTCGAGGTGTGGTCGAATTCCCCCCCTGTCCACCCATGTTCAAATTTCAATGACGCCGTACAATGCATTGCACGCAAGCACTTACTTTTATTATATTTGATAAAGGTAGATAATATTTGTATTTATTAAATATGTTTGATACCCTTATTTAATTTTGAAATGATAAAGTTTATACTACACTGCTAATATTATATTTGAACATAAATGAAATAATTAAGTATACTAATTTATCATAATTTATGTAATTTGATCATACTTATTTACTCATATATATTTTAGAAATATTCAATGCAAAATAATAAATAACCTGACATTTTAATAAGTTATACAATAACTTTATTGGTTTTATTGATATTATTGACTATTGGGATGTTCAAAGCTACTAAAATACTCTACACCAGTAACAAAATGGTGTAATTAATATTAAAATTAAAATCAATTAATTAACTATTAATTAACCATTAATTAAATTCACCTATAAAATACACCGATTCCTGAGTTAGAATTCATTTGGTCTAAAAGTGTCCGAAAGTGGCAGGAATAAGTTATTTTAGTTATTTTTAGCAATTTTATCTCTAAACGCTTGAGCGCTTTGTTAAACAAATAAATTTATCAAACACATTTTGAGTACATTCTTTGTTCTTTATTCTTATTTCTGTAATATTTTATTTTTATAGATCTTTTCTTTATAAACCATTTCATGTATGCATAAAAATCCTTCATATTTTGCTGTTTTTCGCTTTTTACGAACAGCAGAGAACAAGAAATGATGAACATTTTTACAGAACTCTCATTGCAATAACTTATTTAACTTAACCGATTCGAATTTTGGATATATTAGGTAATTTAACTAATATTAATAAAATTAATAAAAACTTAATTTAATTAAAAGTCCCATTAGTCAACGTATAATAGTTTTCGAGTAATTTTCAATAATATGTTTTCGGTCAAAAGTAGTTTGATCAATTTATTAATATTTGCGATTAACTGTTTTTGTTTTTAATCGACTTGCATCAGAATAATATAGGTAGTAGGTACATACACAAAAATAATGTTCATATTATACTTGCATAATCATATAGGTCCATCGGAAAAAAAAAAACGTATAATTTTAAAACTAGTATTTCTCATTTTTCGTTTAGAACCCTCAAAAATTTCATAGAAAATAAAATGTACAAATATTGTGTAATGTGATCAAAGAGCTTAGTATTTTAAATTTTAAACATAGATATTTGTGATCTTAAAAAGAAATAATTACTGTTAAAATTATGTTTTTGGCATTCACTCAGCATTCTGTGTTTCCTAATTAGTTGTTCAAAAATAGATATTCCAGTTTTAAATATTTCCGTTTTTTATACAGAATCCGTTGTATATTTGGCAAATAGCCATTTAAATTGATTAAAAATGAAAGATATTCAAACAAATGTAATATTGGTTACAACACATAACTTTATATTCAAATTTAAATATAAGAAATGAAAAAAATAATACGATACTAATAATGGACGTGCTTCTGTTGTAGTTGAGAAGTTGGGAAGATATAATATATAAAGCTATTTAATTTATAGCTGTACGCTGAAATAAATATTGTCTAATGAAAAATGGTTCTAAGCAAAATTAATTTAAATATATTATAAAATATCTAATTTTCGCGGTTTTAAGTAAAATTTAAACTTAAATTACTTAAACAAAAATAATTGTGTTTTTTGTCTAAATAAATAGCTCAAATATCATCAGAATATTTTGAACATTTTACCACATCTAGAAAATGCTAATACATACATGATAATGAATAAATATTCTAGAAAAATTCGCGTATCTATGAATATTTGTCAAAATTACAATAAAAGAGCTGATACTGGGGATGGAAGCAGCAACTTTTGTAGGTGAAAAGTTGGGAAGGTAGGATACATAAGGTTATTTCATTCATATCTGTAAGCAACGATAAACCATTTTTTGACAAAAGTAATACATAACTTGAAGTGCCGTAATTTTTTCTGCGATTTCCTTTTAAATTTGATTTCAAAACGCTTAAAAAAAAAAAAATAAACAAATCATTCGATGATTTTGGAAATTTGACCACGGCTAAACAAGTCCAATATAAGTATTATTACAAAGTTTCAAGTATCTACGTGTATTTATAACTGAATTACAGCAAAAAAACTCTCAACAATTAAAATTCCTTAAGAGCTCAAAAGTTTTGGCAATAATTCTGTATGAAAGTAAATCAAAAAGGTAACAAAAAAGGTATTTTGTGATTTTTCGATTAAATTTTTTTTTCTGGTAGCAAACATTGTCCGTGTTTTTATAAAAAAATAAAATCGTGGAATTGTTTATTTTTCTACGTTTTTTCCACTTGAATGCTTTTATTTAAAAAATGGCGTCGAAAATTAAAAAATTACCTTTCTAAAGTACTATACACACAACTTGAGCTTTCAGAAAAGTTACTACACGTAAAAAGCAAGTTAACGTGTCCACAGACTAGGATAAAAAAAAATAAACATCTTAGTAAAACCAATAGTTCACTCGCTACGCTCGGAATCTAAAACAAAGTCAAAAGTAATGTCCTAAACTTTCCTGTCTTTCTTTTGTTTTTGTCAATTATAAAAAAAAAATACACTAAACATCAAAAAAAGACTTAGAAACCAATTAGAAAATATTTTTTTCTGAAATTATGTTAATCTCGAAACTTGGACTAAAATTTTTTGTAGAAAACAAAATTGGAAAAATTAAAAAAAATGATATCGTCAACACAATAAATTTGTCCGTTTTTTTTTCCTTTTTTCCTGATATTCCTATTTATAATGAAAACCATATAGAAAATAAAAAAAAAGACTCTCTTACTTATCAACTAGAAAACATTTTCTTTCGAAAATTTGCTACACATTTACAGATTTAATTTCGTGAAAATATTTATTGAAACAAATTCCATGTAAAAAGTTTCATTTAGTACATTTCTCATAATTCAATTTAATAATAATAATAATTTAAACGCTCGCCTAAGGGTGTTTTATAAACCATTGTTATTCATAATGAAGTAATATATTATTAGGTATGACGTAGCAGGTCCTTATGTATTCGCATTTATGTACTTATAAACTATTGTATTATTTAGTGATTATAAAATAAATTTTGCTTAGTAAACATACCTTTATCGTAAGTTATCGCACGTTATCCAATATCCATAAATATATTGTGGTTATAAACCATAGACACTGTTAGATTTAATTTATATACTTATATTTATTTACTATAGTGGAATTACAGTTGATGAAATCAAAAATTAAAGTATTACTAAAAATCAATTATAATTTATTATCATTGTCCATTAGGTTTTATAAAATTAATTTTCTAAAAGAACTTTCTGCGTTTCGTTACGCAATATAAGTACATAATTTTATGTCATGAAGTTAGTTTTTCACGGTTCTTGAGTAATTATAAAGTCTATTTTTATACTTCAAACATTAATGTTTGGTTGGCGCGACTCCGTTAATATTACTATTCTATACTCGTGATAATTATTAAAAGAGCGTGATTCCCGTATTTTGACTGTTACAGCCTACCTCTACCTACTGGGCAACATAGTAAAATTATGTTAGGTAAACCATAAATAGTGGTGTTAAGGTTTAAATTAGAATTCATATACGAAAACAAAATTTAAAGCGGCGGATATATTAGGGTAAGTAGTAATTTTCTGTTTATCTAAAATATTAACAAATAAAAAAGCCACAATAATTGTAGGACTTTTTTTGAAAGGTTATTTTCTCTAATTGGTGTACTTTGGAGGTTTTTTTTTAATTTTCTAAAAGATTTTCAAAATAATTGGGAAAAATCCGAGAGAAAATTGTGGTTAAAACAACAAATATTTACGGTACGCTGTGGCGTTAGCGTTTTCATTGATTTTAATTTTTCAACTATGTTTTCTATCGAAAATATTGCTCTAATCGAAAAAAGTCTATTGATTTTGGTTCTTTGTGTATATAGCCATTGACGAAGAAAATCGCTTTTTGATATCCAAAGTATTTTATATAATAATTGGGAAAACCAAAAACACGTTTATATAATTAATAGTCTTATAAAGTATAAACTTGAACTATTAAAACGAAATTATTATTTGCATGTTTTTTTTTTATTATCTTTAAATTTGCATATTTATGTAAGTATTTTTTTAAATAAAATGTATGATACAATTTTTGTTAAATTTATTTTATAGAAATATTTAAATATACCTTGTCTAATGCACATTAAAAATATAAATACGAAAATAACAATAGGTATTAGCTCATAATAAATGACCCTTGAAGTATTATTTTTACACCCCTTTTTGTCTATGTAAAAAGTATAGAAATTTTATACTAAACTCGTTAAAATAGTATTAAGAGAGTAGTTTACTGTAGTCATAAAGAAGGAAATGTGATATTTCTACGTTGAACTATAGAGAGTAAAGTTATTGATAATTGTATTTTAGAGACACATAAAAAATAAAAATTGTATTGCACAATTTTTAATTAACGTTTATTTTCCCGGTGATTTTTCCACTGTAATATGTTTTCGAGTTCTTCGATCGGAATCTTCTTATCATTAGTTAGGTTATTTTATAATTAATGTAATTTTTTTTTTATTCTAAGATATTTTCTTATTTTATATTGGATATTATTCACCGATGTATTTCCAAGGAAAGAAAATAAGCATAGTATAATATAGTCCTATTATTCCTAGGTTTTCTAGATTATAATTTTTAATTAGTCAAGTTATTCTATTTGTTCGACAAATTTTTTGACCATTTGTTAGTTTTAATTGTTTTTTGGAAAACTTTAACCGAGCTTACCTTTTAAAACGAGCACTGTATCATTATATTTTATCTATTGAAATGTATTGGTATGCTTTAACAATGACGAAGGCAAATTGCAAATGCCTATTAATAATTTAAATCGATTGAAGATCTTCAACAATTTGAGTCCATAAATATAAAAATAGATTATACTTGAAGGAAAAAAATAAATACAGCAAAGACAAAGTTTTCAAACAAAAATTCAATAACATCAATTTAGAATTAGTGTATAATTGTTTTAGATAATACCTCTGTGTCAACATTTTGTGTTAGATCAGAAACTACAATGCAAATATTTTAAAAAAAAGTAAAAACAAATGTTGATGAAATAACCAAACAATTTAAAAAACATGGTATTTGAAACTTATTTGTTTATATATATTAAAAAAAAAACTCGTTATTCTAAAATTTATTCTCGTACATAAGTACTTTCACTTATGAATTTTTATGATTTGATTTCTAAAATTAATTTAGAAGAGAGCTTTTAGTAAAGGCTAATTGAAATTGAATTGTTTAAAACAATATTAGGTACTATAGGTAGGTGTATAGTATTAGACCATAATTGGCTACATTAAATTATTAAGACAAATATAAAGAGTCGACTCTACTAACTGAAGTTGACTTATTATTACTATTAGTCAGTGGTTCTAGTCCACATTCACTATTCAGTAGGGTATTCAATTTGGATTTACTATCAAGAACACGTCTTTTTGTACGTTGTTTATGTATAATTTTTCCTTATATAATATTATTTAATGTATTTTATGCGCCGTGCTCTTTATTATATTTGTAGTAGAAAACTTGTAAAACATTGGAGTAAAACAGTTCTTGGCTAACGTATATGTTTTTAAGTTGATTTTGACATTTTGTTATTGAACAGTTTTTCGCCTTACTTTGAATGATTGAATTACATCTTTTGATGTAGGTTCCGTGTGTTTGATCAACGGTTCAAAGCATTCACTAAAACGTTTTATCAGAAAAATATCTGAAATTTGATGTTTCAGATGTATTGGATATTTATTATGTTTTATTCTAGATAACAAATGAAAATAAAAACAAATAATTCATTTTCAGTTTTATTTATAAACATATAGGTAATATAATAACGAGTAGTAATTGAGTTATATATATATGTTGTATTTTTTGTGCATATTTAAATTTGTATTACAATGACCTACAACTTGTGAATTAACTATCCTAACTAATTTGTCGTACATTATAATATATAATAATTTAATGAATCTTAATACATAAATATACCCTAAATATTATGAATAAATCTTAGTTTGCAATATTGTTTTAGGCATTTAGGTTTGGTTTTCGGGTAGTTTGAAGTTGGAACTTTACTCGGAACTTTATTAATTATTATTAATGTCATTATTATGAATTCATCGCCAAATGATACACATATATCCAACATATTTTCAACTCTAAATAATGTTATCAATATATTGACTGTCCGAATTTAAATTTGCCATAATTTTTAAGAATCACGTGATTTAAAAACTAATCTTTCGGGTCACATTTTTTTATACCATGTTTAAAAACACTGATCGACACGAAAAGAAGAATACTATGTATTTTTTAACAACCGGCTATTAAATTATAAACCATATAAAGGTGAAGTGTTATCTATTTTTAATAATTTTGAAAACATATATATTGCAAATTATTACTTTTATATGTTTATATAAGCCTGACCATAACAAAAATAACTATTTTTCTGGTCCAGCATGTATTCAGTTAGATAATATACCCCATGAAAAACTAGATTATATAATCCGATATTACTTATTTAAGATACTCGATATTCTGATATCTGCTACCGATACAAAACCGATATGCCGACCTGATATTTGAAATCTAAAATCACAAATTGATATTGAAATTATCTGATAATATATCGATTATCAGCTTCTTTATCGTTTTTTTTTTTCATGTTCCAGAGAAATATTTTCTCAACAATATGGGGTCAAATATTGGCTGATATATGTTATCGGCTTATACCAACACTCACCATTAGTAAATACTACATTGCATAATACTCTTTTCGTGTTACCATTTCGGTCCTGGTTGAATAATTTTCGTTATCAATAATGATAAAATAGGGTATCGATAGCTTGACCAAATACTTTATAAAAGGTGACGAGTTGAAGTGATGTTGAAAGTGGAAGACCAAGGAACGAATTTATGAACAAATCTTGATAGAGACGATTAAGGTTAGTTACAAGGAGTTATAGGAATTGAGTTACGAAAGGAAAGCATGACGGACTGCAGCAAACCAATCAAGTCATAAAATTTGAAGACAAGAAAAAGAACAAAAATGAATATCAATCTTTTTGTTGTAATGATAACATGATAATGATCAACCGAAAATTTGACCGATGTATGCGTCATTCAAAAGTAGTCGAGTAAAATTAGCGGTTTTGTAAAAAATTCTTTAATAAATGAGAAAAAAAGTATCCAGAATAAGTTTAGAATATTTAGAATTCAAATTTAATATTTCAAAATGTATTGGATTAATTTTTAATATAATTTTTTTTTAGTTGATTTTTTAGTTATCGGCACTGTTTTTTTTTTGTTTAGGTAAAACCAAATGTGTGTTGCATGATAGACATAACAGAGATATTTGACGTACTTTCTAAAAACACAATTTTTTCTAAACAGATAACAATTCCTGATCAATGATAACGCAATTTCGCCAATATTATCAAATAACTAATATTCTCTGGTGTGTTTATGGAGAATAACAAGAAATTATTTACTATCAGTGCTTCGCAGCCTGCAGGCCTCGAGATTGTTATAATAGTTGCCTATTTCACTCCTTTTTGTTATTGATCAAAATATAACGAAAAGCTATCTGTAATCAAGAGGAGGTGGGGGGTTTCTAAAAAAAAAAATTAGATTAGAGTAATTAAAATTTAAAAAAAAAAAATCGTATTCTGAATATGTTTTCTCCAAAGCATCTAGAATAGTATTAAAATACTTTTATTCGAATATTTTACTAGACTAAAAATCGGGTATGTATATACTATATTTAATATATACTCTTATAACGCAACATATTATCGGCGTCTATTGGATATTGTGACATTGGAAGTGCGGTATTCAATTATTTAAACATATTTTATTATAAGATCACCGTGTGACGGTGTAGGTCGCTCTAAGGTCAGTGATATGATGACCGTGTGCGTGTGCGGTATTTCGAGTGGCGTGGATCCACAGACAGCACCGCCACACGACATCCTTCGTCGGGCCACCGAGGGCAAAGGTGTCGGCGGTAGGCGTGCAGGTAGGCAGGCAGGTAGGCAGGCAGGCAGGAAGACAGGCAGGTAGGCAGGCAGATAGGTAGGTAAGACGATACACGGCGATTTACGCGGAAGACTATAGCGGCATTAGGGGCGCGCGCCTGTGCGTGTTGCGTGTCCGGCGACGGCCGAAGAGGCGCCACGTCGGTCGGTCGCACGGCGTACACCACCGCGAGAATCGATAGGGACCGGGCACGGTGGAGGCGGCGGCGGCGGCATGTATACGCTTTCGCCGCGTTGGCCGTCCGCGTGGCAGCGTCGTCGTCGTCGCCGAATCGAGACCTCTCTCGGCGGCCACTACGGCGCGTCGAGCGTCACGTCACCGAGGAACGAATTTGCGCGGGCCCCTGACGGGCACGCACACGCACGCAGGGCCACGCACGCACACACAAACCCTCGAGTACACACGGGTGGCGCGCACGCTCGCGGCGGTTGGAGCGCGCGCGCCCGCGCATATACTCGTACCACCGGTGCCGCCGTTGTCGTCGCGCCACTACCGGTCACTGGTACCGTTGCCGCCGACGTCAGTCCACCACGAGACCACGGGACGTATCATTGTCTTTCATCACACACACACACACACACACACACGTCGTCGGCGTCGTCGTCGTCTTCACTTATTATCAATTTCACATTTTCCATCACGTCTTTTTCATCTATACATACGTCGCACAATATACGTATATTTTTATTATTATAATAATAATAATTTAAATATTACATTATTATATTATAAATATAGCGATTTATAGTTCACACGCACGACTCGGTATTTTATATATGCATACGCATTTTTGCGTATCCGCTCGGACACGTTGTGTCGTCTGCCCCGTCAGACCCGATTTACGAGCCTCACGCATATTATCAATGAGATCGTGCGGCGATAGGCGATAAGCGTACTGTACGTACACCGAACGAGATAATAAACGGCGAAACGAACACAAATAAATAACAACAAACACTATACAATAATTAACATTATTATTATAATAATAAAAACAATAAATATACGTCCACTGCCGTAAGACAGCCACTGCGACGGACGCATTATAATTAGCCGGTACCGGCGTCGTCCAGGGGGCACTCAGACCAGGGGCCGTCCATCAGCGCGACAACGCACCCAACTCGCTGTCCGACCGGCTGAACACGCACGTGTTGGCACGAATCCACGTAAGTCGTTTATCATAATATTTTATAATATGCGTACGTTTTATTACTAATAATTTATTATATATTAGGTTATCTATTATTATAATATATTATCGTAGGTATCGTTTTGGTTTACGCGTTCGATAAGGTTGTCATAACGATAATCATTTTTTGTATCGTATTCATTCGAAACGACACGTCCATCGTGCCGCCGGTTGTTTTATTATTATGCATTTTTATTTATGTTTTTTGTTTGTTTTTTTTTTTTTTACGAACGCAGCCGACTCGAAAAATACTATGTACGATATAGATTTAATAAAACTCTAGAAATATTGTTGTTCTTGGCGAAGTTTACGATATTATAGTTCTTTTTTTTTTTTTTACCCCGACCCAAAATAAAATAACAAAAACTCCGCAATACGGGCGGAAAAAAATATAAAAATAATTTCGGTTCGATCGGAAAATATTATTCCGTTTTGGTAAACTTTATAATAATTCAATAATATATATATAGTTATAGAGTAATATATCGTGGTTTTTTATTTGATTCGAGTGAGCAGTACTTATTTCCCCCCACCTCTTCCTCGGAACTTTTGGTTTCAAAATAAATTCGTTACCTCGTATATGCAACCACTAAATTTACGTACACAAAATATTGGTAAGGTAGTTATAGTTTTTATATTTTCAGGTACCTATATTACGATCTTGTTTAATTCGATAAACATTATTGTACACGTTTAAGTTATGGGAATATTACAAAACAAATTATTGGCGGGGGGTTGTATTTTTTTTCTACCCAGGCGGTCCTAGTTTTATAGACAAAGAATACAAAGTTGGATGATTTTGATCGAGCATTATCAATTTTGTTCGTCAATATAAGAGAGTAGTTTCAGTGAAATTTAGTAATAACAGATAAACGTCCCTGCAAAAGAGTTGAAAATCGACCAAATAACAGTTTGACCGATTTTCGAATTCAATTTAAAAACTGTATTATTTACATAAAAAAAAGTCCGGTAGGATGTTAAATTTAGGACATATAATTAAAACTATGTTTTATTCAAAGTCTCTGTTAAATTTATAATTTTCTGAACAAATTCGATAAAATACCTAATGAAGTATTTTTAAATTGACGAGAAACTTTGTTAAAACATATTTTATTGATAGTTTTATGTTTTATTTTTATGTAAACGGTGTAGTTTTTTTTACTAAACTCGAAAAACGGACAAACTATTTTCTTTTTTTGTTCATTTTCAACCTTTTAGCGGCACGTGATATGATTGAATTAATCATCACCGAATTTCACTCAAATTAATATTTTATATTGATGAAAATGACATATTATATGACTGAATATACCAGTGAGAGGGGAGGGGTAAAAATTATATTTAATTTTTTTTCCTTCATCTAGACAGTAAGTATCAAGTAAGTACCTCTCAATTAGGAGGTGTGTTATAATTAGTTTTAGATTTAAAAGCCATAACTGTAAACATTTTATTTTATTTATTCGTTGGAAATAGAAATTTAATTATTTTACTGAAAATCGTAAAAAAAATTGATTATTTAATATCTATCTCATTTGAACTTATATTGCCGTAAATACATTTATTATATTATTTAAAATTTAAATAAAAATTAAGGGTTCATTTATAATTTTGAAAGAGAATTGAACTCCCTAACCCTCCCCCTTCATTTTCCACGGTCACACGTATAGACGTGTTATTATTTTTATAAACGCGCAATGGAATGAATAAATGATTTATTCTATTCGTAATTATTATGTGGTAGATATTTAATTTTATTTAATCTGTAAACTATTTATTTTTTTCATAGACAGCGTAGAAGTAGCGATTTATTATTTTTTTAGTGGGCACGATATAATATATTATATTTAATAGTTTGTTAATTTTACCGACCTGCAACGTTAAAACTGTGTGCACGAGTTATAAGTTTTCGACGTTTTGATAAACTGTTTGCTATTAAAACTAATTTCTAAACCAAACAAATTGTATTTAATAAATGTTTTTCACGTTTTAAATATATCTATCAGGTTTGTATAACGACGCGCGGATTAAAGCTCATTTTGACTGAGGCGAATAAAAATATACCGTATTAGTAAAGCTCTGAATAGTATATCGTAAAACGAAGATTATTTTCATTTAAAACGGTGACAAAAAAAAGCCTAAGAATGATTGCCTAAATCGTCCTCCTCCCTTATATACCATCTGCCATGGCTGCGTTTTATAACTTATATAAAAAAAAAAATAAAAAAAACCATAATTTGATTATATTCAACTTCAGTTTTAATTTGATTCTTTGTTGGAAACTTTATTTGAACACGACTCGATCATTGTTTGTAATATGATTTATAAGATTAAATCATACTTTTCTTCATATAAATCTTTTTAAGGCGATTGGTAACGGTGTATATTTGAGTCAATTTAGGTATAAAATCCAGATAAAATTGTAGGAATTGTATTTAACTGATTTCCATTTGAAACACGGATTATGATTCTTTAGGTTCTTTAGGTACTAGGATATGTTGAATATACGTAGTCATTAAATTATTTTATTGGAAAACGTAAACAAATTTTAATTTTATTTTTGAACAATTTTCAAAAATGTTATTATAATATAAGAATTGACATAAAACAAATTAATTCTAACGTATCCTTATAAAAAACCAAAAAAATCATAATACGTTTCCATAATGAAAATCTGTCAATTTGTCAATTGCTACAGTTTTGTTTTGCTTTTCGATCTAAAACGTCATATTTGTCCGTAATAACGATCGTTCCCTTTAAACAGGTAGCGCGCAGTACGCTAGTGAATAAGTCTTATCAAAAAGGTGGTTTTTCAAATATTTTAAATTGTGTAAAATGAGAAAGATCTTCATAAGTCCCCTTAAATGTAAGTTGGAATAAAAGAAACACTAGGATACCTTTTAATCGCTGTTTGTTAAAGGATATGTTGTTTTATAGAAAGCCAAATTAGTGTCAAATATATTTCATGTATATTTCGGTTTTATTTTTAAATTTTTAAACAATTTATGTACGTTTATTTGATGTCACGAGAATAATTGCTTAGCTCGTAAAGTCAAAAGCTCGGCGGACGCTCGGTTTTTTCTGCATTTAATTCTTAGAGCGTCAGTTGCGCGTAACTCTTCTAACGCTATATACTTGACCTCTTTCCAAAGCTACGTGCTTAGTAAGTAAGGCTTCGTTTGATCGACGTTGTTAAGGCGATGAGTAGGACCGTTTGTATATTGCGTACTCTACTCTTCACAGTATGTAGGTGGTTTTTTTTTTTAGCTTCGCTCCTCCCCTATTATTGAACTTAACCACCTTTCCTACGTATATCGGAGGGTTATAGCGCTTAAATGAATCCTTACGAATAACAACAGCTTACCGACGATCACTTATAATATAAAAAAGGATATTTGGGTCAACACATTATTATTTTAGATTCTGAGCGAGGCGGGAAATATATTTGGTTTTACTAAGATGTGCACTTTTTTGTGTTCTGTCTATCAACAACTTTTTTACCAGAAATCTCGTTACAATTGAAAAACAAAAAGAGGAGTTTTTTGTGGTAGAATTTTTTTATTATAGCCAATGCATAAAGCAGGTTATTTTCGATTTTTCTTGTATTTGTCATTATACCTGGAAAAAATCGGAATAAAACGTATCAGCAATAAAAGTTTCATTATTTTTGATTTTTTTTTTTACTAGAAATCTTTTCTAATTTAAAGTATGTTTATTGTAAGTATATTTTAAAGTATGTCAAGTTAGTATATTAAAAGATAATTTTCGATTTTTTTCTATTGTTTTCCCAAAAATAGTGAAAAACCAGAAAAACCCGTAGGAAAAACGGAAAAATTTACGGTTCAGTTATTTTTGATTTTCTATTTTTGTTGTTATTCGGTTGAATATAATCGTAGAGATCTAAAACTTGCACAAAATATTCATATTAGACCTTTATCAGCGTGGTCAAACGTTGAAAACGTATTGGGTTTTTAAGCTATTTATAGGCATTTTATATTTTTAAATCACAGTATGCCACGTCTTTGCGTGGCATGATAAAGTTGTAGCGGTGGTTGCGGTGGTGGCGTAAAGTGAGTAATTTGGGTGGCCATGTACAGCTCTGGCGGTAGTCGCAGTAGTGGTGGCATAGAAAGGGTAATTCGAGTGGCGCTGCAGCTATACTACATAATTCGCAAATGCATATATGTTGCAATTTGTTTTAGAGAATTGCTTAACAGAGTTTCGCGCAGAATCGATTTTCGTTAACAATGATTTATAGTTGCTTAAAGATATAAATTGAACAACTCTATGCATTATACCTTCTTTACATCTCATCTACAACAGTGACACACTCATCAGCATTTTCAGGTCTTTTTTTTTATGTCAAAATATAGTAGGCAAGTAGTTAAAGACATTTTTCAGAAATGATGTATGGTTTACAAATAGTTCAATAGAGTATATTATTGTGTTAAAAAAATTTGATTTAAGAACTCTGTGGATTTTTTTCTAATAGGTTTATGATATGTTATAATAATTATACAGGAAGTGTTGTACAATGTGTTAATTTATTATAAGTTATAACTACACAAAGTATATAATAATATGTATACAGAAAAGAAGTCAAGTAGTATTGTTTAATTTTATTTTAATCTAAAAGATTATGTTAAGTTTAAAGATGGTTTATTAAAGGTTAAAAGATTTTTTTAAAAATATTTGTCTATTTTAAATTTATATTCCTTTTTGGTGGGATTGACCGATAATTTTGAACGACGAAATAACAGTCTATTATTTTTCGTTCGATAGTAACTATTTATAAGTACGTTTGTTATTTCTTTCGGCTTTACCTATCACGAAAATTCGTTCTTGACAAATCCTATTGATTAAGATTATTATTGTTAAGAATACGTATCATACCTATATACGCATTATATCTATTCAATGGGAATAATTCGTAATCCTCAAATGCGATTTCTGTAAGTGATGTTCGTGTTTTGTAGAACTATAAAAAAAAATTGTTTTCTTTATATTGAAATCAAATCATGTTTGATTATTGAATAATATCTAATGCCGGATTATTCGGTTGTGAATACGGTTTGTGTAAAATGTATTTATACATTTGTGTATGAGTTAATAAAAATAAATCTTGTGGTAGACAACGAATTGAAATTTCTTTCTAGAGGTTTTTATCATAGCAATTTTCCACGGTCGTTACGAAGTGCACGCCGGAGATTATACTGCAGGGGTGGGTTTTTATGCACGGAATATCCGGCGGATCCGGAAAAATCAAATTCCCCTAGCCTGTATAGGATACGTGCATGCCAGAGCTAAAAACCATTGCTTCCGGTGATCCACTTATCATAAAAATGTGACTCTAAATTCAACCTTATATATTACGTATATTATGAGCGTTTGCTTTTTAGTCGTGACAATCAGGTCACATCATTTTAGGAATCTATTTTTTTTTAGATACATCAATAAGCGGTGAGATATTAGACACACTTCTTAATGTCTGATTTATTTTTTTTAAGTATGTATGGAACTTTTGATCAACTTTAAGTTTTGAAGACCTTCAAAACTAAATTATTATTTTTGAAAATTCCGTGATAATAACTACATTAAATTTATATTTATTTTGGGAATACTAAATTTTAAATTTAAAATTAACTTCCTAAATAATCTGACAATTTGTTAAAAATCCATAGATAATTTCAAAATTCAAATCAAAAAAGTATTTTTAATTTCCCACCGCTTATTGATCAAGAACCACCATATTCGATCGTAAAAATAGCTATACCTCCTCCTCTTAATTGTACATTGTTATGAAATGGTTAAAAATCATTTATAAATTCAATATAATTGAAAACAATTTGGTAAATCGGTTCCAACTCTTTTAACTAAAAACCTAGAAATAAGAGGTTTAGGAAATTCTAAATAAAAGTTCTTAAATGATCATTATAATATTATTATAAATCGTCGATAACAATATTAATGTTGAATTTTAATCTTTGGAACTGTTGTTAAAATGTAATTTAAAAAAAAACCCGTTCGTTTTCTATCGTCCTTGATATATTGGGTTAGGTCGAATAAGGATTCTTTTTGCTTTTTTTTTTCGATTATAAGACTAATTAAACATTATAATAGGTTGGATGTTTGTTTTTTGACGGATATTTAAGACAAATTCGAATGTTTTATACAACTAACTATAATATTGTTATTGTTGTAAAAATAACAACACTACACTTATTTTATCTATGTATACGAGGATTAAATATTAAAGTGTATTTTAAACTTAGAAAAGTCAAAAGTTTTCTTCGAGTAAAGCTGTTACGAAGGGAATATCTTTAAAGTAATTTGAAATTTGTAATATTGTCATCCTAAGGTTAGAATATAGTTAGAAACTACATACCTATTCAAGTATTAAGATTCGAATATTGTAAGTAGATAGTCTTGAAATATAAATATTTAAACATAGGTACCTATCTATATTATAGTATATCTATACTGATGTATATATTATGTACATCGAAATAGGCACGTACTTACATTTTTTCTATGGCTATAATAATATTGTCTTACAAATTCTTGGAAGACAATATAATTATGCCTCTTTATGCGTGTTTATAAAAATGCTTTAATGGATTTGAATAAAATATTATGTATTCTATTATAGTCAATATTCATTTGTCTGGTTTATTGTATATGTATATTATATTATGTGGTATTGTAATTTTATGTAGATTAAATGGTTTTGTAAGTTAAAACCAAAATACGTATCTTTAATAATATGTAATCCCAAGGATATGCAAAACGAATCACAATTTACTTGTTTTAAGATCCGTGCATTATTTGTATTATATGTTTACACTATTACTATTTCCTTGCTCAGTTAGGTATCTCTGAAAAATGTAAATATTTGGGCAAATACACTTAAGAATTTCATGAATAAAATTATCGGGTTATTTTTGTAAGTCTTAAGTTTTATAATAATTTTTACAATTCATAGTACTAAATTCGTTAAATTTATTATATTTATTGGGTATATTCAGTTTTAAAGTTTTACCTTTTATAAATTTATAATAATATGTCTTTGTGTCCCGATATGCTGGATCTGGCCTCCAACTATTATCGGTATTTTTTTTTTACCCAAATTTATTGAGCAATATCAACATAGATTCTATTAGATAAATGGCATAGAGCTGTGTGTAGAGTTAATTTCTTTCATTATCGGCTAATTTTAAACAGTTAATTTCATTAGAATCCAATGAAAATGGGTGCATTGTTTTTTTATTAGTGAACTGACGGTTAACGTTATTGGTACATTTTAATAATGATTTATTTTAAACTTCTCGAAATCTTTCCGTTACGTTAAACTGTACGCCGGCCTAGCTGACAGTCGTTTAAAATTTAGAACTAAGCAATTTTAACAACAGCCCTGGGTCTATTTTCTGATGTAGTGACGTAGTTTTTAATTACGTTTTTACACGTTTCAGTGTAGACAACTTTCTTTCAAAAGTGTAAGGAATATTTGGAAACGTAGTTATTACTAAATTCGTTAAATAGTAGATATGTATGTATAAATATTTTCCACGAAGGGGAAATAATAAAGCCCTCTTAGTTTCTATAGCTATATATAGTAGGTATTCGAGTCGTTATAACATTTTCTTCGTAGGTATTCTATGTTGTTATTATAATTTGTTTAGAATTCCTTTGAGATATTTTATTTTTACATTTAATGATTCAAATCCAGTGTGTTTTTTAAATATTCTTATGTACCTTTTGTGATATAGGATATTACAAATACTAGGTTTTACGAAATTATGAGGAAGATTAAGGATTTAAAAGAATTAATATTATCTTCGATTTTATTTTCAGCCAATTTTAAATTGTTCATGTTAGAGTGTTAGAGTATCAGATGAAATGTTTTTATACCTATAATATATACCCATAGGCAATATTGATTTATCACGTGAAAAAATGGAAATTGCAGTGTTTATAGGGATATAGGGATTATATTCGTTAATATTTGTAAACCAGTATTACATTTAAATTATAAATGAAATCCCAATTGGTTTAAACGAAACAAATGAAAAATATTTTGTTTTATTTTAATAAATTGGTTAAACATCACCGGATTTCCTAAGAGTACCGCCAAGAACTATAATGTAATAACGTTGTAAAAAGTCAAAAAACTCGAATAAAAAATAAAACATTATATATCTAATTCATGCAATAACAGTTTAGGGAAATGGTTTATTTATAAACTAAGATTGTATCCAATTTAGTTTTTATTTATAAAGCAAGCGTGAAAACAAATTATTTAGTAGGTAGTAAAAAAAAAAAAAATACATACATACATATATATTATTATTATTATTTAAATAAACAAACGTCGTCTTCGTCTGTTAACTTAACACGCATAATAATAATTATGTGTGTAGTTAAATTTCGAATATAGTATTCTATGGGGCGTTACAACCTAAATAACGTTCATTTAAATTTTCGCAACGATAAAATCTTAATTCAATCTGAAAATTTCCGCTGGAATGATTTTAATGTAACTTTGTCTTTTTTTTATTTTTCGATCAATTTATTAGATTCGATTAATTTTTAGGAATTTTCATAACGTTTTAATCATATTCCGCCATGAATAATAATTGCGCAAAGGTTTTGTTTTTTATGGGAATATCACGAAGAGATTTAAAACTTTTGGACGTTTGGACAACTTTTTAATATACCTATTGCCTTATACTATATAACTTCAACTATTATTAATACCTACTTTGTTATTAATGATATATGTTAGACTATCAATATTGATTCATATATTTTTTTAAATTAATTTTCGGAACACTTAAATGTTCTAAAACTATAGAACTGTACAAGTAAAAGCAAAATATAATTAAGCGATTCTATGAAATATACACATACAATAATAGTTATGAGTTCGCAATAATACTAATAATAATAATAAAACAAAATATTAACTCGGTATAAAAGTAAAAAAAAAAAAAACCCGAAAAACAAACTAACTTAATTTATAAATACGAATTGGCTAATGATTTATTATTAATATACTCGGTTTTCTTCATTACTTTTTGAATTAAAAAAGAATGGTAATATTACGCTTTGCATTAAGTCGCAAAAAGTTTTCGTGGAATAATTACAAATATAAGAATATTTTAAAATTATTCCTTAATTATAAAATTGCTATTTTATACACATCTACTCAATATTTGTTTATGGTTTTTTATTTTAATCATTACGGTTCCTATATTTTAAACTTTAATATATTTATATATATATTAGAAATCTCGAGTTTAAATTTCAAAATAGATTATTAGGTAATATTAGCAGATAAATATTGTATTATATCAAATTATGATATTATCAGCTAATGATATTAGATGATATTGTAATAATTATTTAGATGGGATTTAAAATGTTTTATAATATTGGAAAATGTACGTTAGATGTTGTTTTTCTAATGAACTTATAATAGTCAGCTGTTATTCGCTGTTATTGCCTTGCTGTGAATGTTACAGCTCGTTAAATATGTTTTATTTTACCGCTCTATTTATTCATATAAAACGTGAGGTTTAATTGTGATATACATTTTAATATATAACATCAATGATTTTTTAGTAAGGATATGTTAATTGTGTTATATTTAAAATTTGGTTCTGAGGCTGGTTTTAGAAGTTATATGATAGAATGTCAAATTTTATAATACCATGTTTTATAAAATAAAACTTTTAGTTTTTATTTAAATATGTATTTTGTTTACTCCGATTAAATTGTATTATAAATTATTTATTTAAAAAAATATTGTTAACTATAGTTATAAAAAAAATCTCAAGTGTTAAAAAAAAAAAAAATAATAATAATAATAATTTACAATACTTAGGCTTATTAGCAATATTTTTCATAATTCATTAAAATCATAATTTCAATTATCAACAACTTATTGTATTTTGTTTCATTGTATTTTTTCTTTTTTTTTTCTTAATCATAATTCTACATCAACAGTTAGTAGTTTTAATCTAATACAAATTAATAACGATAAAATAAAAAAAAACCCAATATGAAATCTATTACAATATTTTAAAACATAGTTATTCTGAAGTATAGATTTCTTAAAACTTGATTTTTTAAAACACGCACCCAAATCTTAAAATTCACTCACGATTCGGAAAATTATATTTGTTTTTGTTTAGCGAAATAAATAATTATTTAAGTATGCACTTAATCGTTATTATTATATAAAGATAATAAAATTCCTTTTTTGACATTAAACTTAGGTATACTAAACACATTAGGTTGTTATTATCTCACAAAATGACTTTTAATATGAATTTAAAATTATTATAATTCTCTATAGTATGATGATTGCATAATAATTAAATTATCGAGTGTAATAAAGTATAATATAACTGTAGGACGTAGGTATCTATATTACAAAACAATGTAAATATTAACATTTTTTAAAATTTTTTTTTTAAAAATTTGAATAGGAAAATTATCAAGACGATGTTGAAAATTGAATTTATATAAGCGGTTATGATGTTCTAAAATTATTATTTTTCATTATAAAAAAATACATGTAATAGATGATGTTTACAAAGGGAGAATGATTGTTTAATCAGATCGTATATAAACAAAAAACGATTACAGCTCTACCTAAATCTGTATCACCGCCAGATATAGTTTATGGTTAGGGTAATAGATGGACCATTGGTCGGTACTGTTATATATGTACAAAATATGTAGTGTACACACATAATAGCGAGTCGTGTTGTGCCCAAGGTATTTTTGGTAGGTACGCTGTGTGGGTATGCATATTTCAATCGGTATTTGAAATTTAAATAGTTTGAATAATGATATCTTAAATATAATATATTAAATGTCTATGTGTAATGAAAATTACGGAAATAATGAACGGAGAACTCGAAGTGAAATATCGAGTTACTAAATATAAATTATTTTGCAATATACGTATAGTGCATACGTAGTCGCTTGAGTCGATACGAAATTATATACGCTAAATAGAATCGAAAATGACGAAGAGAAATAATATTATGTGCGTGTATAATATAATGATGAAATATATCATGTAGTTATTATACGGGGCTGTACACCTACTTGAAAAATTATCGCAGTCGTAATCAGTTTTCACTCATTTTTGACGTAGGTTGTCATAGCGTGTTATCAACGATATCTTTCAAATGATAACATACAATACAAAACTCAAGAGAGTGGAGGCTTTTTTCAATACGGATTTTTTTTTCTCATATGAAAATGTCTTAAAATTAAATACAGCAATATGTATTTGGACAAAAAAAAAATATAAAATGCGGGATTTTCATTTTTAAAATTAACTCGATTGTAAAAATGAAAAATAGTTATTAGCAATAGGTATTTGTATCATTTAATTTTTTTTTTCATGGTACCCCATTAAAAACAAAATTTAACACATACGTTATAGAGTTGAACTATACAAATTATTATTGCATTTGTTTGCATTTCTTTATGGTATTCAAGAATTCGTTTCATGTTGTTTTCATGTTCCATGCTATTCATTTTTGATCTATTAATTTCAGTTTATTAGCTATTATATTATTATTTTTTTTATCAATTGTAAGCATATTTTACATTTTTAATATGCATAATAATCTGTATTTATAAACGACTCAAATTTCAATAAAGCTATTTGTATTTATATTTTTTTGAACGGATCATTCATAACATATTCAAAATAAAATTAATTTAAGTTTGTTAAAATTAAGCTTTATATATATTTTATTAAAACAGTTTTTAATTGTTTGTATATAAATGGATATTAAATTACATTTTGGTTCTCAAAGAATTAATTTTTTGAATGTCTGAAAATATAATGATTACTAAATTATTTTTCATAATATTATTATAAATTAATTTCAACTAAATGTTTAATGTTCACATCCTCAAGTCATTTTTTAGTAGAATTCTAATGATTTAAAAACATTATTTCTTTTTAGTATTTCAATACATTTAATGTATGTTTTTAGTGTATAATTTGTCTAGCAATAATTATAATATTAAATAAACATCCAAACAAAATAATATAAATTTATCTCGCAAAGATAAAATTGAAATAATAATTTATCATTTATGAGATTTAATTTAAAAAAACCTTAGATGATAATATACGTAATAAAGATCGTTTTATTTATTTTATATGTAAATATTATATTATATATTTGTTACATGAAATAATTTCAAGAATATAAAATATTATTTTGGATGGGTAATCACTTTTTTCTTAATATATAATATAATATAACCATATACTCACTTCATATTAATTAATAAATACCTATAGCCATTTTTATTCTATGTAATAATTTATTATTTTCTGTATATACTTTGTGAACAATTTTTGACTAGTACTTAATACATTATGCAACCTATGGGTGTTATACGAACGTTTACTATTTAAAACTTTAACCGTTATTATTTTTAATTCTGTACCATTTTGGAACAGGTAAAATATTCTCGTAAATCTTCTGTATAATATTATATAATATTATATTTGTATACACTTATATTTTATGTACATTATAACTTTAAACTCGATTCGACAAACAACTTTAAAACATAGTGAGTTTGTAATACTTTGATGGGTAACTTAAAACTAATATTCTTATTTGATTTATTACTCAATACAATTTTTTCTATCCTTCATTTATTATTTTATGGTATTGAATGTACTTTGTAGCGTTTATTTGTTGTAGTTAAAAATATAATACTTGTTTTTATGATATTCCTTATGTAATTATTCGTTCATTAAATTACTGTGTATATAGTTTAAATATTTTATTAGTTTTATTGTAGGCACCTATCTATTTAAATCGTCCTTTTTTTTATATTTGTGTATCCAAATTCTTTACCAATAAACTATAACCTTAATAAATTAAAAAGTGTAAGAAAACGAGTACAAATATATACAAATAGTAATTCAAAAGTATAGAATTTACTATCATTAATATTAATGAACGAAGTAATTTATCATATTAAACGACATAGATATGTCCATTTGTATGGAACATTATATATATTATTTTTTTTTATTGAAGTGAGAATAATAGAAAACAATAGTTACACAATGAAATCAATAATGGCTTGTCTATTGATACTATTCTATGGACATACACTATACATATATAATAAATATATATAGTATATACAGAAAGAAAAAAAAATAGAGAGAGATAGAGTGAGAGAGAGAAAGCTGCGCTGTCGTAGTCTGGTTTGACGATTGTGATTGAAATCACCTGAAGCGATGGTTTACAATCTATCGTTTTGTTTTCTTGCGGGAAACGTTCATGTTGGTGAAACGACAATCGTTGCCGAGACAAATAGGATCCCACAGGACCAAGTTTTAAGACGAGGGGGAGTGAACCAAAAACAAAAGATCCCTTTCAGAATAATCTAGAATAGAGAATAGTATTCTATGAAAATGTTAATGAAAGAAAACGAGAAGTGAAAAAAATGTATCCTGTGTAATTTGCAGTGTTGAAAAACGTAATGTGCAAAATGCAAATAGTGGAAGTAAAATCGATTTGCTAGTAATTAATGTTCAAAATGTTTTGAATTTCTATAATATTGCTAGTTTTAAATTTGTATTAAAATTATTGATACATTTTTCATATTACACATTTTAATATAGAACTCACAATGTTCAATAAATTAATGACAATTGACTGCATATTAAGTACATATTTTATTAAATTAAATTAATTAAACAAATTTTATATTTCTTTTGTATTTATTTTTATTGTCTTAATATTTTGTACGGAAATTCTATAAACACATTTTGTTTTATATCGTAATAGTTTTTTACTATTGGTTTTTGATGTTTTAAATTTAATTTTTAATAAATTCGATCAGATAATAGTTATTATAATAATTCTAGAATAGGATAAAAACGATTGATGAATAAATTTAATGAAATGGATTTTTTAGGAAGATGTCTACACTGAGTAAAAGATAAAAATATACAGATAAAAGAGGTTAAAATGGGTTACTAAAAAAAACCCGTAAGATGTTTTTCTTTCTTTTGGTAAGAATGTGTAATATTATCAATATTGCCCTTTGATTTTCAGAACAGTTTTTGAACCTAATATGAAATACTTTTATCTTATTTCCTTTTTCTTTAAACCTCTTACGTTGTTTCGCCATGAGAACGATCAACATCTGGTAGTTTCCTCGTAACTTTTAACTTTCTGGAACAGAATTATGCTATTGTATATAATGGATTTGTGGTATACTCATAGTGTATAGATACCCTTTCCGAAAAAATATTGTCGATTTATTAGATAATAATGCAATCCTACTAATTAGTTTTATATTACACGTGTGTGTATTAAACTGTCTAAACGTTTCCAGTACTTACATTTTCTAATTGTTATTTAATTAATATATGTTTCAGACCCATCGATAGAAGAAGAGAGAATTGTATTGGATCCTTGGTGGTTTACCTGCAGGTAACGTAATATTATAATATTTAAATATTTTCTTATAGACTTAATTGTATAAATTGTTATACAACGTTGTAAGCGATTTGGACTGGTCACAATGCAGACAATGGTGCAAAGCAAATTTATATTTGTGTCTTTTACATCCAATCGCATGTATGTGGACTCGTGCTCCATAGTTCATAGTTGTGCTATACATTATGAAATAATATTACATTTGAGATTTCTAATTTTTATGGATAAAATATTATGCAACTAAATATTGTTCAGTTTAATTTATTCACCTATATTAATATACATAGTCAATAAAATTATGTACATATATAAATACAAAAACCATAACCTTTCAATCTATTTAACTTTTATTAGTCATATTAATAATACATAAAACATATTTGGTTACATTATGTTAAGTGAAATAAAAGTTAAAACGTATACTTGGAGTGTGGATGACGTATCTTAATTAGAGTATAAAGTAAAATTGATAGATGAAGGCGTTAGGCAAACATAATATAGCAGCTGTGGGTGTGATATTATAGGGTACAGAATGGCAGACTTAGAAATAAAAACCATATCGTAATTAACTGTTAAAACACGAGGAACTGCTATAGCGGTAATGGAAGGGGTAAAATGCAAAACGTCTGTTTACGTGGTGACAATGACTAATATAATAATAAAAGAATTATAAAAAATAAAGTTTTTACTAGGTATTGTAATTTTAAGAAATATTCTTGTATTTAATACATTGATTAAAAAGTAAAAAGTAAGAGTATTGGGTTGTCGAAAATTTAAATTAATATTAATTCAATAGCCTATGATTAGAGTATATTAATATTAATTTTAGTTTATATTATAAATTACATTAGACAAAAAATGTTTAGAAACTTAAAATTAACTATTGCTGTACAGTATACATATTATGATATCATAAGTCATCACATCTATAAATAATACGGTATAGTGTCCCTATAAACTTCTTGATGAGTGTGGGTAAAACTTTATAATGTTTTTTATAGGTTTATCATCACGATGTTGATGATTATTACTCATATGTTGTTAGTTGTGTGACGTTAATTATTTTTGAAATTGGTGCGAGTTGTTTAGTGCTCGTCAATGTCTTCTAATGAATACTACATAGGTTTTCCCGTAAAATTTGTTAGACGCTTTTTGATCTTTCGCATTTTAGTCACGCTCTATGGATATTAATTATAATTGATAAATATGTTTATTTAGTATCGATTGTGCTTTAATTAAGTGTAAAAAAGTTAATCTTCGTCGTCAATGCATTTTATTTGCGACCTTATTGATTTTTTTTTTGTTTTCTCAGTTAGTTTAGATACTAATTAAATGATTTTTAAAAAAGTTTGATTAGATAATAGAATAATTATCCGGTGTTAGAAACAAATAGATAAACCATTAGATACGGTTTGATTTTTGATGTATGCAAATCAAATTTAAAGTTTTCGCCATAACAGGTTAATGGAGGAGTAGGGTTTTCGATAAGTTCGTTGGCTACTGTTAATGTTATTACAGTTATTAGCGATATTTTACGGTATCTCACCGAACCCTACTGACGTGGCGTCTTTCTGAACAAGAAACATTTACGGATTCGCAATAAGTCTCTCTCGCGTGCGTTTTGTTAAAACAAGTCACGTATGTTTAGTAGAAAGGTAAAAAAATTAGGAGCAAAAAATCGCTGAAAAAGTGTAAAGAACGCGTTTAAATTGAGTGCGTGAAAAAAAAAATGTAATACATAGCAAGGCAATTTGTAAGGTCTGAAGATACAAGATAACGGACTGATTTTCGACTTAATGGTACGGCGTCGCTGCTGCAGCTTTATATAGCTGCTGATATGCTTCTATATAGAAGCTACCCTTCGATAGTCGATCGAACCCAATAATGAACACGAATCACATTGACCCCCCCCTATGAATGAGTAATGGGTTTAACTTTATCATCGTTATATTATACACCCCGCGTTTTCTTCCTATAATATTTTATTTATTTCGGCGGACAATACATCTCAATGTGATGACCGACCGACTGAATATACACCCGTGACGAAGAAACTTATAGATATTAGAGATATCAATATAAAATAATAAACAAAAGCGAAACTTTCGATTCATATTAGATAACATATTTTAGTCAATTTACGATGACAATATCTATATTTTGCAATCTTATCTTTACACATTACATTAACATTTTATATTTATTTAAAAATGTATTAATTCTTCTAGAGAAACTATAATAAAGTTTTCTGCAAATTGTCACGTAAAACATAAATAGCTAACTAAAATAAATCAACAAAAAGATCTTTATTGATGATGCTTGTAAATACATATTTTTGCTTTACAGACACTGACTATACAGAATAGGAAACAAGGTCGGAGATTTTTGTTCTTATAAAGTTCATTTATTACAAAATAGGTTATATTATTTATTATTCATGGAAATGAATATTTGATACAGCAGAATATTATTATAATATTTAGAAATTTTACATCGGAGGTAGGGTCTAATTTTTAATTTTAGGCTGATCATTAATTATAAATGTTAAATACATTTGATATGTAGAAGTGATCTTATTTTACTTATTATTACTTAGATTATAATACAAAATCTAACCTTTTTGGACTTAAAGTTAATTCGTTTATAATTTCATCCACATTAAGATGTAGGTCTCGATAAATGGATAGCAATGCCACTCTAACCTAACCTTGCCTATATATATAAAAAAAAAAATAAAATATTGCAGTAATAAAAAATTTAAAAACAACATATAATATATTATGACTTAATTTATTATAGATCTTAAGCATGTTTTTGACCTTTTTAATGTTTTTTGTTATCACCTTTAACATTGGTAATGCACAAAATTAAATTTTCCATGACTGTGTGCCATTCTTCCACCAGGCATCGTAGTTTAACACAGTTTTGGGGATATATAAAAGTAGTTATCAATATAGCTGTCTACATTGATTTTATTTGCCACGGGAGGTCCAAATTCCATAGACTCTCCTCGAAACGCACTACTGAAAATATACATAATTGTCTTGTATAAAATATATTATTAAATACAATTTGGTTTGGTTTTTCTTATTCCCCGTTAATTTTAATAGTTATTAATTCTGGTTTTTATTTTTTCTAACCATTTTCAATATTTATTATTTATATTACAGATATTTTTAATATTTACTCCTGAGAGGTAAAATATTTTAATAATTTTTTCACTATTTTTCAGTATTGAAACATTATCGTAATATACGATCAAGTCTATATATTGACCGTATTTTCGATTTTCAATTTTTCCCGTATAGTCGGCGGTGTGTGGTGCGGCGGGGCGCGAACCGATAGCCAATTTAATATACGTGGGTAGGTATAATTCGTTACGTATACGTAATATTTATATACATACTATATAGGTTTTGAACGCGGTAGAGGGCAAAAGGTTCGAGGTAATTTGTACGCCAAAATATAATATATCATATATAATATATATGTATATAGAAATACACTTGGAAATTGAACGTTATCACTCGGTGTCCACCGGCGAGTAATAAATTCCGAGAGCTTGAATATTATCAGAAAATTGAACCAGGTTAACCCTGTGCGACGTTCCACACACACGTAGGTACTCGAGTCGGGATGAGAATATATGTGTTTGTGTGTGTGTGTGTGTGTGTGTATGTATGTATGATGTGTAAACATGGTTAAATATATATATGTGGGAAAAACATTCTTGTGTACGAGGTGTAAAATTAGTAGAGTTTATCTGTATCCAACAGCACAGTCTTTTTTTCGGGGTTCAATTTTTCAACGGTTCAACGGGATCTTTTATTACCTGCATGTCCTCCGGACCTACTCTAACGGTCTATAGTAAAAACGCAATAAATTACTCAACGATTTTTATAAATATTATACTTTACGAACGTCGTCCAAAAATATCAAATACAATTTTTTTTTATCGTTTTTACTATATATTTTAAATTATTACTCTTATATAATTACTGCAGCGTGGAACATAATATTATATAGAATATAAATCTAAATATTATTTATAAAAAAAAGGCTAATAATTCTAATGGATGTATCATCGTTTTAGGAAGGAAGTTAGAAGGAAAGATATAATATAGAGTAATTTAATTCACATAACCTGCATATCTGTATGCAACGATAAGCTATTACTAATGAAAAACAATTCTGAGCAAAAGATTATTAGTCGTTTTTTTCCTTACTGTTAAGGTTACCAAATTCCCAGTTTTCTTATCTAGCCAAGACAAGACTAGTCCTCTTTAATGTAGGTACCAATTAAAGACAGATACGACAAGAAAGTTCCTACCTTTTTTTAATTGGAAGTTTAGGTGAAACCAATACGTTCTTCGTTTCCCTTAGAATCTAAACATAATAGGTAAAATTTATCTACATTTGTGTTATTATTTTTTGAATAACAAAGAATAAAAATCATGACTAATTATCAAAAATTATTTCTTCAATGCACTATGACTATACAACATTTGAACATGATTTCTGATCAAAAAGATATTTTTGAATAGAAAAAATAATAAAATCAGAAATATACAAATTGAGTTAGATTTTCAAACGATACCAGTTTCTGAAATAGACCATTTAAACACACGAGTAATAAACGAAGAAAACATAAGTCAGAAAAGTTTTCTCGTGGTTTTTGTCATAAGTTGGTAAAAACGGATAATAAATGTTTACCAAAAACAAAAGTAGGAAAACTCACACATTTCATCCGTCAAAAAGTTTAAGGAGTTCTGTGCATATAAGTATATTTTTGGTGATATATTATGTTTTAGTTTTTCAATATTCGTATTATAATACGATTGGATTCATTTTATTTATTTGTTCTTTTTTTTTTACGTTAATATTATTTTTTAAAGTGCATCAAATCAAGTAGTAGCCTACAATAGAATTTGTTAATCATTTGATAATATTAAATTTTTCATATTGAAATAATATTAGTGGTCTCTTAAATGTATTCAGTATTCATATAAATTTGAACTACGTTCAAAATAATTACAAATATTCTTTTAAATAGATTAGAAGCATTTTTTTTAAATACATATTGTCACATGTTATACATTTATTTATGTTTAAAAAATAATTGGGGTGTTATTTAATATTTATTTTGTCATTTTAAACTTGTATACTACAAGTTGTATTTTATATATTAGGATTTTTATTGCATTATGTGCAAGTAACACGATATTAAAATAAAACAAATTGATACTAGGGATGGATGTGACCATTATTTTAGGTAGGTAGTTGGGAAGATGGGATACATTAAGTTATTTTTTTTAAACCTGTAAACAACGATAAACTATTGCTAACAAAAAACTGTTTGGAGCAAAGTAACGGTTATATTCGGTTTCATATCGGTTATGATTTGAATGGCAGTAACAGTTATAATTTGTGTCAACATTTTATTTTAAAACTCTTATAAAAAAAAAAAATTTGCATTTCACAAAATTTTTGGTTTGACCACTGAGTATGATTTATAATAATCCTCCTGTCAAATTTTCAAGCATTTTTTAGTCTAACGATTTTATCCATATTTTATTCTATTAAATAAAAATTACGTTACGAACTCGTAAAATTAAAATATTTATAAGTAGCTCAAAAATGGCTTAAATGTTTTGAAAATGGTCCCATGTTGAAAAAATAAATATAAGTTTTCTAACGAAATGGCTGATATTTACAATTATTTTTAACTGAATTACAATTAAAATATAAAATTTAAAACAAAAAAGAATTATTTTTGTAAATTTCCCTGTTTTTTCTACGTATTTCCGGGTTTGCCCAATTATTAAAAAATCTGCGAAGGAAATAAAAAAAAAAAAACGACTTTCTTGTTCACCAACTAGATTAAAAATTCAACCCCAAAAGATTTCTTGTTGTTTTATATTGAAGAAATATTCTTGGTATAAAACGGAAGGCGTTTAAAATTTTAAACAATGAAACTGTTGTAATGATGTACATTTTTTCAGTTTTAATTTTACGTTTTTTTTCGATATTTCTTAATTATCATAAAAACTATCATATAAATCAAATAAAGAATTACTCACTTACGGACTAAATTATAAATGCAACAAATGTCGTTTTTCTATCGGAGCAATATATTATGATAGAAAACATAAGCCGTACAAATCTAGGAGACATTCAATTATTACAATGAGAAATCATTATTAACAAAATATGATTCTTAAGGCTGTCTGGTTAAATATAATATTTTTAAATTAATTTAACGAACAATGAATTCGTATATGTATCATAGTTAAACGATTACTTTTTTTACTCTGCTAAGAATCTAAAAATATTTAATAAATTCTTTTAGAACTAAAAATTAATCATTTAATGTAAAACGGTTCATAAGTTATATTATGAATTATATTATATATTATATAATGTTCGTCCAATTCATTTTTTTTTTTTAGAGTAAAGTCTGTTCGTTTTGTTTTTATGTATATTACTTTCCAGTTATATCCGTTTGCTCAACTACGTAGATCGTAAAGTCTAATGCAGTTTCAGCTTTTGTGGCACCTTATCCTCTTTTATCTCTCTTCTATTTCGTAGTAAAAGGACGGCCAGTCATGTATAAGATCTAATTACGTTCACACGGCGAATTATATAGGCAATAAACCGTCGTGACTGTGAATTTGCACGTGTGTAAGCATAATAGTTTCTCCTGTTTTACTCGTGTGTATATTATACATCTTTTATAATGCAACTAACAATAATAATTTTAATAGACGCGTAGATATCTTGTAGTGAATATAAATATATAGTTTTTAGAATTGTGATTAAATCGTCTATAACAAACATTTCGTATCATTTTTACGATTACAATACACGGTGATGGCAATTTCGATTAATAGCTAATTTGCTATCTATGCCAAAACGTACCTAATATGTAAATTGAATTTATATTTAATATAAATAACACAAAAAAAAAAAAATGTATTAATTTTTATTATATCATTTGAATAACATTTTTTATTAGGAATCATAAGTTATAAATGTATGTGATATAGATTTATACGACATCCCTGTATTACGTCACACTATTCGGTGTATAGCTTAAATACTATATATAGTTTTCATCTCATTTGTCAAATAGTTGTTTATATACATATACACAAAAAAACCTCGGTTGTTCCGTTCGGTCGGGCAAATGCCACCCCATTCATCATTTGTATACGTATTCATTTTTTCTAAACCACCTCTGTCTGCTGGCCTAGCTACAACCATTATATATTTCAAACGTTTTAATTTTTTTCATCTACTCTTCATTTGGTCTCATTTCAATTAATTAAAACACACACGGCTCGCTCATATTATATTAAAATATATAAATGAAACATTTGAACCAGATTATTATTATTCATTATGATAACTATTTAAGTTTTAACAGTTACGAAAAATGTTTTGTTTCTTAATTTATAGCCACACTAAAATTATGCATAATATTTGATTTATTCAGACATTTGAATTACAATGGTGATTGATTGATTATTATGGTAATTAATTGTATTTCATTAGGTTTTATAACCGCCAGATATTTGTAAATTTTATGAATTTATAGTTTGTATTCTTGAGTGTGTTTGTGTTGTTTGCAAATAATACTAATTATAATTATTAAATATATACTATTAATACGTGTAGGACTTATACTGTAGGTACTTAATATTAGTCTATAAAAAAAAATTATTTTCGAATATAATATACCACATGAATACAAAAATAAATTGACAAAACAATTTCGAATATCTTTAAATTATTTTTATTAATATTTAGATTGACAAATTATTGCATACGAAAAACTTAGTGTGTATTGATTTTTTTGAAATTGTACTTAGAACGAACATACGAGCATCTTATATACTTTGTGGTAATATTATTAATGGTATTTTTCAAAAGGGTTTTAATGAGATCTATCTAACTGATGAGTATGTAGTTTAGACAAATTCTTATGCTTTTGTTCACTGGTTAGGAAATTGTTTGGTTAGACTGTTGTTGACGTTGAGTAGGGAACGTAATTAATGTAGAGTTCACATGAAGAATAGAAAGTAAATTGACGTCTTGGCATATAGTAAATTGGAATTTCAAATTAAGTTCATTTTAAATATTAAACTGTATTCTGTAATTGAGGATGATAATTCAAATATCAAGAGATTATTACAATTGCAGGTTTGAAGAAGTGTAGAATTATAATATTTTACATTAAAAACCTGTGATAAAAAAAAAAAAATTGTATAGTTCAGACATTTAGGTTATTTTAAAGTGGGGTTTATCCATATTTATATGATATAGCTATGGAGTTATATCAAAAATCATCATTAAAATGATCGAAGAATTTTTTGATGAAAACCTAAAAATTATAGTTGTTCGTGTATTTTCAATTAGACCTAGAAGTTAGCAAGTAGTTTTCATTAAACTTTTCGTTCTCTGTGTGATGAAATAAGTTTTTCAATGTGAACGTAACTTTTAACAATATCACCCAGAGTAGTAATAGCCTTCCGGAACTGTTATTTTTCTTTTAATCATTCCCTTTCTTATTTTTATTAGACATGCAACGGAATTTTTCGAGTTCGTAGCAACCTTGGAGCCTAACGAATTGATTTCGTTAAAATTTTAATCGACAAATTAGAACTAAACAGCCGCAATATTTAGTTTCCGTATTTTAAAATAATTATAATTCAACATGATACGACGTGAGACAGACTGTTTTTGATAAATGTACGTTTTTCACATTTCCACCATTACCTATATTATATAATATATACTAGGTATTTAAACGTCATTTTAACATTCCCTCTCAGGTTCGTAAGTTTTAAATAATTGAATGGCGTATAATATGTAAGCTCTGTTCCAATTAAAACCTTATTTATTAGTTTACAGTAGAAAATACGGAATGTTGTATAGTTGACATTTATGAATATCAAATATTATATGTTTACTGTATAGGTACGGTATTAAATGGTTCTTATGATTAACTAATCTTTCAAACAATACATGTTTTGTACATATATATTTATTTTAAATTTGTATATAAGTATTGTTGCTTATCGTCTACTACGTGGTCTATATCTTATTTTCATATGTATATACATCTTTTCTGTGATTCAAACTTTCTTTATTTTATACTTGTTATGGTATACTCGATGTTAAACATCATGATAAACAAATTTGATGATAAACAAATTAGACTTTGAAGAGGTTTTATATGTTGTACTTTAACATTGTCGTACGTATATTTTAATTAAAAAAAAAAAAAACAAATTAAACGAAATTGAAATATATTTTATACCTAGATATTCTATTTTAATTTAAAAACAAATATTACCAAGTTTTTATTTATGACTTTTATAATACATAATATCATGTAATTGTTTATTCGTATAATAAAAACACTGCAGTTATATTAAATACAAAGACGCTTATCAATTTATTTTATTAAAATAAAGTCTGTCAAGTTTGTTTTGTAGTTTCTGTAGACTATTATTAGTGTAATTCACCATTTGTTGTGGAATTAAATAATAGTAAACTATTTTTGTAAAGTTACTGTAACAATCTTGTTTATACGTTTTAAATATTTATTATTGAATAATATTATTCTAAATTGCATAATACAATTAGCAGTGGAAATTTCAAGTATATGTATCTGCATTTGGTCGGATATGAACGGGATTTTTAAAATTGGTCAATACATTTTATGTTTTAAACTTTCCGAGTTAAACTTTAAATTTATTGCAAATAAACAAAATTATAAACATAAATATGTCTTATTATATTTCTATTTCAAACCTATAATAACTTGTATCATGGGTATCTAATGTGTATGAAACAAGGCGAATGGGGCGCACCTGCAGAGTTAATTAAAAAGTTTTTCCGAAAAATAACGAGCTCATCCACATCTTCAGTCATAGGTACTATGTTGGCCAAGGCTATTAAAAATAACGGCTGGAGTTTTAATGGGTGTAAAAAGAAAAAAAAATGAGAACGAGAGAGAAAAAAGGATATACTTAGGGACCGTTTTACTTGTGAAAACCGTCCATTGGGATGTTATACGTGACCGAAAAGGATTTCACCGTAAGTCCGCATTAACGAGGCGGGGACTTATGAATTCCATGCAAAACCTAAATAATAAGTTGAAAATTTTAATCGTTTAAAGCCATGTGGTGTCGTTACACGAAGTATTATAGAGATACGCATTTTTTGTAAGACCACCAACTAAATGAATCCGACAAGTAAACAAGATTGGTTTTTTTACTATTATTTTCAGATCAAATAAGATTACTGAAAAAAAAAAGAAATACGAAATTCGGTAATTTTTATGGTAAAATTGTTTTTAAATATAATAATTGACGATACGAAAATCCATTACGACTGTAGAGCTCGAAATTATTAATACTTAACATTAATGATCAACGTTTCTTGATATTATAATGTATCCAGATTTTCGTTATTGTCATCTCAACCCTTTTTTTTTTTTTTTAGGAATCTACAATTGTTAATTGTATAAGATATTTGATACACTATTTTTGAAACTATTTTACATGAAAAGAAGAAAAAAAAAATAATAATACATTTCTCTGCTCTGTCACTCTGCAAAGGACATCAATTAAATTGATAAAATATCATAGTGTTGTGCGGCTTTACATAATTTGTGTTGTGTAATTCATATATACATATAATATATTGAAGTATACTTTATAAGTAACTTAACGTGTCTTATTACACATTTCTTAAATAAATATGGAAATTAAATATGCATTCGACATGATGGAAATTCTAATGACACACAGTTAAACCGAATAGTGTTCCATTAATAATGTATTCCATTTTATTAGGTATAAAACAACGCATATAACTCGAGAGAAAAGGTTACTCTAATAATAATTTGTACAATATTACATTATCATAATTTATTTTAGACTAAATAAAATTAAGTCGTTGTTACATAATAGAGTTTTAACGTGTACTTATACAATAAATACGAATACACGTGCAAGACGATATACTATACGAAATATTATGTATTTTATATATTCATTAAAATTAAAAAAAAGCAAATTAATAACGATATTGTTATAATTATAATAATTTTAATAATTCTTATAATTTAATTTTAATTCGATTATACAAATAAGTGGTAAGGAATGTATTCGTTTTACAATGGTGTATATTATTATTATTTATTTGTTATCAATGTATAAGTTTTCTACTAGAAATCTTGCTCCGATTTTCAAGTGTGGTCAATTTTCTGAAAGAAAACTGTGTCTAGGTGGTACTTTAAGAAGACCAGTTTTTGGTTTTTCAAATGATTTTCATAATAATTGGAAAAAACCCTCAAAATTTACGTACTTCTATAAATAAACTTCGCTCTGAATCGTTTTTTGTCAGCAATAGTTTATAGTTGTGTACAGGTATAAATAAAATTCCTCTCTATATCTTACCTTCTCAACTTTTCACTTAAAACAGTGTCCCACCCATCGTCCAAAGTATAATAAGTGTGTACATTTGTTTTTCAAATAGGATCTCCCTTTCGAACACAGATTTTAATAGAGGCTATTTTTATATAAGCTTTGATATTTATTACACTAGTATCAGATTACAGTTTATGAGTTATAAGTGTTTAAAGTTTAGACTGTAGGAGTAAGAAAAGGTCATACATTTTTATACCTACGTTTGAATAATAAATTGGTAACTCTTCTCTATAAATGAGTTAATAATAAGTTGGCAGGAGTTATTAAAATAATTATAAATTATTCTTAATCGGTAATTATCTATTATAGCTATTATTTATAGAACTATGATATTCAAAAATGAATAATAAAATAAAATGTTTTTAATTCATCCTAACTTTTAACATATTTGATAGATAATTAAGCCCAAGTTTGGCAAAATCACAAATAATACAACATTTACTATTGTTTTTACTATGGAATATATATACATTTTAGATTCTGAGTGGAGCGAAGAAGCTTATGGTTTTATAAAGATGTTTAGTTTTAATTTTTTTTTCTGTGGACTCTTTTCTACTAGAGAATTTGTTTCGAATGTGTTTGTGGGGAAGTACTTTACAGCGATCGTTTTCAATTTTCTCAAGAGTTTTCCCAGCAAATGTGAAAAACCAAGAAAAAACATTAGAAAACCAGGAAAAATCGATACATTAAACAAATATTATTAAAGACAATATATAATGCCTTTTTAATTAATTAGCCATAATATCATATATATATATTGTTGATAAAGTATTACTATTAACTGAACTCCGCTCAGAATCGTTTTTTCGTTAGCAATGATTAATCGATGCTAAAAGATATACATTAAATACCTGTAACAGTGGCTGCACCTGTTCTTATTATCCTAGGACGTCTTTTTTTTTCAGGACCACTTTTTGGAGTAATAAATATTCATAAATTCTTCATATAGGGATATTAATTGGGAGGCTAAGCGTGTATTCCTTCGGTACGTTTAAAGAGATTATTTTTAAAATTTTCTGTGGAACCATTCAGTTTAAAGTAGGTATGTATTCGTAAACGCAACAGAAAAAAAAATAGAAGCCAACGCGTTTAAATCGATTCTATGTTTCACTTATTTTAATTTTTCACTTAATTTTAATTTTGAAAAAATATGTGGGTTATTCTTCGATTTTTTGTCTAAATTTTGTAGGAAACATTTGTGAATTTTTTTGATTTAGTTAATTTAGTTTAAATACATATGAGTTTTTTTCATAATATAAATTCGTACTTAGAAATATCACAAAGAAATAAAAAAAAAATAAGATAAAATATTTTTCCATCAAAACATAAACAAAAAAATTATGAAGTCAAATCATTTTTAGTAAAAGTATGTTTATTTTATTAAAACTTATTTGTGTTAATGTATAAAAAAATCCAATTCTTATTAATCAAGTACTTTAAAACTAATTGTTTTAAAATATATTGTCTTGGTTATTGTATAATAGCACAAGGAAAAAACAAGAATATCGTTAAGACAATTTTGAAAATAATATAATTTCATCTAAGTATTATGTTTTCGGTATTTATGAGTTTTAATTAAACACTTAATATCTTTCTATTTTTTACTTCTGCTTTTTTTTTGAGGCGAAATGACTTCTATACTTTTGATTTCATATGGCTAATCAAAAATTCCAACACTTAAATTTATTTAAACTACTATTCAAATTCCATCTATTTATACATTTTGTTATAATGTTGTCATTTTAAAATCAAAAGTAGACTGTCTTTTTTTCTCAAAAAATAATGTTAATATAAAATTAGAGAGCTGTCTGTTTCTTAAAAGGTAAAAATCTTTTATTTTTTGAAAAAGTAAATACTTATCGAAATATCAAGTGTATTGGATTAAATAAACCACTCTGTATTATACTATTACTCTGCTGTAAAATAGATCGTACGGATGCGTTGTGTTTGTTATTTTCGTGATAGTAATTATCAACGAGTGGCGGACCCAGCTTAGTTATAAATTGTATTTCTGTGATCTTCTTACATAAGTTCTTGTGATTTTTATTTTATATATTGAGGTCGGATGTCTATAATAAATAAAAGTTCGTGCGTTTCAAATTGAACCTTTTACTTCTGACATAATATTTTATAGGTTTTACCTCCATAATATTATAATAACATTATAACGATTATTAAGACCGAATGATCGATGTATAAAAACAATGTTAATTATATTCACTTTCATTATTCTTATAATATTATGTTTAAAAAATTTGATTATGTAATTGTTCAAAAATAATTAATTATTTGTTATTAATCTTATTTATACGAACAATTATATTATGGTATTTTTAACATAATAAGACACGAGGTAATCGAAAATCACAATAATAATAAATTCCTTACTAAATAAAATAAATGTCTTGTTGAAAATGGGAAAATCTATTATTATCACTTGATCAATGTAATTAGAATGCACAATTGATAGTGTAAGTTAGGTTATATGTGGACAAATAAAATGGGATTGTGTTGATGAAAATAACTGGAGAAATGTGAAATAGTTATAGCACGTGTGTAATGTGTATAGTTAATAAAATACTTTTAATATTATTTTTTTTGTGTGTGAGTGACTTAGTTATAGCGATGCATCTTGATAAACGTTTTGCCGGGAATTTCCAAAGTTGAGAAATTTGTTACGTATGGTGATAAGGGAAGCGAAACTTGTGGACAGGTAAATATCGATCAATCTTTGTACCTTTGACAGCCTCTATTTCCTATCGTTATGTTAATAAACGATCTCCGGGGAGACACCGTCTTATCAATTCGCCCAAATGTTTCAATTATTTTAAACTTTTTAAATGCAGTGACGTTATATATGTATGTATAATTGTACATTGTATACATTTTTTTTAAAACTCGTTTTTATAACAAAAATAAAAAAAACTAAGTGACGTTTTAGAAAATTGGCAAAATGTTATTTATTATAATCTTAAGTATCAAGATTAATCGGAAAATATCAATCGTGTATATAAAGTTATAGGCACCAAATGATGACAGCACATAGTGACTGTGTCTATGTTCATTATTATTGTTTATTTTATATAGTATAATTAAAATATAACTGTACACTATAATATTTAAATTTAAATTTATATTTTAAGAAAATGACATTAAACAACACAGGTTTACAATTTTTCGATTTTAGATTCTAAGAGGAACGAGGAAACTTATGGTTTTACAAAGATGTTTTTTTTTTTTTTTTATCTGTGAACATCTTTTTTACTGAAGAACTTGATTCGGTTTTTACTTGTAGTACCTTTTCTGAAAAAAAATTTCACTGGAGGGGAGGTACTTTAAGAAGGTCGTTTTTTGATTTTTTCCGGAATTTTCTCAACAAATTTGAAAAGCTGAACACACATTTTGGAAAACCGGGAAAATCAGTATATTATACAAATATTAAAGATACATTAAAAACAATAAATAATACCCATTACATTATTTTACCATAAAATGACAAACATATTGTTAAGAAAGTATCACTATTAATAGAACTCTACTCAGCATCGTTTTTTCGATAGCAATGGTTAATTGTTGCTAAGAAATATATATTCAAATATCTCTAACAGTAGCTGTACCCGTTTTCCTTATCCTAGGACGTATTTTTTTTTTCTTCAATGATTTTAATATAATTCGTGACTAATTTTACTATAATCATTATTAAATTTAATACACTTGACAACTACGTAGTTTAATTAATTCGGTATGTCGGATATTTAATTATGAAAAACTGAATACAGTTTGTATTCGTTCACTACAAACTACAGATAAGGAATTGATTAATGTGTGCCGTCCATCCGAATTTAATCGTCCTCGTTTGTCTCTAAGACAGCTAGACCTAAGTAATTTCTTTCAAAGAAAATAAATACCCGTTACTGTCCGGACAAAACTATAATATAATATAATAGTTCAGGGTTATGCGAAAGGAATGAAAAAAAAAATAATCTCGAAAAAAATATAGAAAATTCTTTTATTATTAAATTTTTTTTTAAATGTAATTCAGTTTAAAATATTTATATTTGTATATAATACCTGAAAATTGATAGAAAACTTGTATTTGCATTTCATAGACGTGGTAAAACTTTCAAAACATTTGAGCCATTTTTGAGCTATTTATAGACATTTTTATTTTGCTACCTTTTTGCTTTTTTTAGTAGGTACTTTATGTATAAAATTGTTAGATTAAACAATAATGCTTGCATATTTGATAGGAGGATCATTATAAGTCGTATCTTGTGATGAAAAAACAATTATTTAGTGTAATTTATAGTATTTTAATTTTTTTTAAAAGAGTTTTGAAATCAAATTTTGACGGAAGTCGTAAATATTACGACCTTTCAAAACATATATGCCCAAACTTAGCTTCTAACCGTTTTTGTTAACAATGGATTATCGTTGATTACTGGTATAAATTAAATAACTAAATGTTTCTCACCGTCCCCATTACTCACCTACAATAGTGGCCATACTTGTTCTTTTCTTATTATTTTTTAATGTGGTTTAGGAATAATATAGTAGTTTTTTCGGGGAAAATGTGCTCGTGATAGTTAAGGGTATAAGAAATATTATATACTTGTACGTCATGCGGTTACTATATGCAAGTTATGTATTTAAATTTACTCATGTTTTTCGATGCGTTAGTCATTTTCAATAAATTTATTATAACTTTGTGTTTATTTTTTATTTCGAATGATGAACAGGACATCATTCAGTTATTGGTTTTTGGTGGAGACCAATTAACTCAGATAATTTTTCACATATGATACGTAGCTTTCTTTTATTTTTTTTTAGTATTTTTTTTTTTAATGCATTGGGAGTGTATGTTATTTGTTTGTCTTCTTTGATTCTAAAACCATTCCGAAAATATATTGTAATATCCTGTAATATTTGATAATATGTTAATAAAAAAAAAAAGAGTGATACTTTAATTTCTATTGTATTTGTAGGTAAGTGCCCGGTACAATGGCTCTACAACTATTCTATAGTTTGCGTTTTAAAATTTTTATTTTCTTCTTAAGCCCTCCCTAAGGCTTAAGAGGCCCTGAGAAACACCCCTTTGTTCAAATTCTGTCTGTAGTATTTCCTTGCTTGTTGGGCACAGAGACCATCGTTACAACATGGTGTTTATGACAGGATCTTCAGATTTATTATCTGTGTTTATTTTTGTTATTTTCAATTTACTAGCTTTTAAGGATTTTAGTTGCTTCCTGCACTAAACTGCTCCATCTATACGTATCTAGTGTGTTATTCAGACTCACTGGCTCGTAAGCCACTCTTATATCATGCTTCTCTCTGTTTAGCTGTTGTTACCACGTAGTCTTTAGGTTAGGTTAGGTTAGGTTAGGATACATTTTTGATCATTACGTTTTAAAGGAGTTTTTAGCTCGTCATACATGCCCGGTCCATTCAAGCCGTTTGACATAGGAATGTAATACATTTTTTGTAAGTATAAGATTAATTGTACAGCTAATTTGGACCTGCATTTTGGATTCTGAGTGGTGCGTAGAAGCCTATGGATTTACAAAGATATTTATTCTATTTTTATCTGTAACAACTTTTTTACCAGAAATCTTGCTCCGATTTACAATGATTTTTTAAAAGGACATCTGACCGGGGAGGTATTTTGAAAAGGTTATTTTTCGGTTTTCCCAAGAGTTTTTTCAGAATATTTGAAAACCGGGAAAAACGTAAGAAAAACCAAAAAATCGGTTCAATATTGAACAAATATTATGAAAGAAAATATATGATTTCTATTTTATTAATATATCGTAATACGACAATATATTATATTGTTGACAAAGCATCACTATCAGATGAACTCCGTTTAGAATTGTTTTTTCGTTAGCAATGGTTTATCGTTGTTTATAGATAGACATTACATTTTCTTCTATATTCTACCTTCCCAACTTCCCATCTAAATTAGTGAATGTACCCACATGTGAAGTATGCCCGTCTCTTTTCTCTTTTGATAATCGTCTATAGTTGTGTTCCTTATAGATCCATAAAGCACTTTTCTTTCAAACATTTGTTATTTTTCTGCACCGATCTTTAGGGTTGATAACGTTTTACATGTATTTTCTCGTATATAGTTAATCATAGTATCAATAAAGACCCGTATAGTAACGTTTCTTTAGCAGTAAATAGTAAAATTATAGTTTATAATAGTTATACCCAGTTATTAATTATAATTCACTCGGTATATAAATGTGTTGTTAAACAGGTTATCTTATCAGAAAAATATCTAAGCTCTCATAATATTTCAGTGGGTTTGTACTCATGCACGGTATGTTAATATGTGACCGGGAAAAAGCACAATGGTACAAACCACACTAGCGGTGGTACCGGTTGACGTTGAAAAGCACGCATGTAATAATATTATATAGGTACTCTTTTATTATTTTTCTCATATTTTTTTTTGAATTTTATTTCGACGTCGGAGCGACCACAAGAGGTTCCGGTGAATCTATTGTCAGAGAAATCCCCCTCTCTTCTTCCACACAACTTCCACCAGTGTCTGATATATCTACCGCCCCTTCACGTCGGGACGTATATTCATGCGGTGCGGTTGTTTGCCCATACCGCCTACGTGTCCAATAATATGATGCTGGAGGCGACGGTGTAGCTATACGACGACGACGAGAAAAAAGAAAAGCTCGGCCGTCACCGATGAATGGGCACCGATGGGTTCCCATTTTTCAGTTTTACTCGACACGATGAAAGAGAAAAGGGGATGTACTGCGCGGAGACTAATAAATGTTACTTCTCTATACCTATTTATACTTTCGTATTAAATATTTTATACTCTAAATATTTTTCACGAGGCAAGAGTTTGTATCAAAATTACTGGCAAGACTTACCTTGCCCGTAAATCAATCACTTTTTCTTGTTGTTATATTATTATTAAAAGTATGAAATGAGCTAAGCATATAATAGTATAATATGATAATAAGCCTATATCCGCTATTATTATTGCTTTTATTTATTATATTAATAGGAGCTAAATTTATGCGCGTTATTGTCGCCAGATTTTGACAACTATTATCACGCTATTATTTCCGTCAACTTTGTCTCGACAATATTTGATTTTATAATATTTGGTCACATTATATTGTTGCTGTATTCAATGTCAAAATAGAAGAGTGTGGAACATGTAAAACAAATATTTATCCGACAATAGTATAAAATAACGACAAAATTAGTATTAGTACCAATTAATATTTTAATCACTAATTACAAATTATTATATCTTATGAAAAATTTAAACAAATTAATGTATTTTTCTTGTAATGTTTTATTTTGTAAAAACTGACGTCACCCTGAGTTCGTTTTGAAGAGGTTATCGGGAATATAATAAAACTGTATAAATTGGATATGAGATAGTGGAAAAATCGTACATTGAAAGAAAGCCGAAGATAGTTTTATATAGATAATATGATGTACATTTATATATATATATATATAAAATACTAATAGAGAGAGTAAGAGAAAGACAGAGAGAGGAGGAACGAAAGTCTTTGCCCAGAGAGGAGTGATTCGATTATCTGACACTAATTAATATACTCAGCTCTTAATAATTGTTTCTTAACTAACTCTATTCCGTTCTACGTTTGTATAATATCAGACTAATTTAAACGTGATTGAATACAATTGTGTGCAGTTTATTATACAGGCCAATGCGATCACTCGAAATCCGATTTGGTTATAATATATTTTGCATGGAAAAGACGACGACATAATTCTAGAGACGTTGTATTACAATATTGTTCATCAGTCTGTATTTGGATTAGATTTTAATATTGAATCACAATAAAATACAATGCAATTACATATTTATATTGTATACCGGAGTATCGATTTCCTAGTATAATAAATAAATAAATGAATAAATAAATGAATAAAATAACCTTAGTAACATATTTAATATATTAAATTAATCGTAAATTACAGAAATGATATTTCCGTATTCTACGAAAAAAATTCCTTTATCGTTTAGAGTTTTATAAAATTTCATAAAAAGACTGTAGAAACTTAAACATTAGTTTTTAATATGCCAATCGTTTTTTAATTACTATCTTTCTTAAAAAATTAACAATTTGAAGATGTACTTTTTCTGAATTTATTGTTTCAGTAAATCTTATACATAGATGTTTTAATCGTAGAGGTTTATTTTTATATTTAGAGTAAATATTTTGTGGATATCTACCATCTTCCAAAAAATATAAATCTGGATATTTTTCACATTTTAAAAAGCCGCTGTTATGACTAACGACTTTGGTGATGTAATTTTAGTATTAATTTGACCTCGAGCAATATTGAATTCGAAAATACATTGCCAAATAAAATCATTATTTATTATATAACAGTTGCTTTTCTTCTCACCAATTTTTTAATTTTTAAAAATTATTTTCAACATACCAAACTGGAGAATATTTTAAAGTGTTTTTTCTCTGTACATCGCATTTATAAAACGTTTTATTTAACTGAAAATAAAATCGCGCTTTTTTATAAACATAATATATAATACCGAGAATCTAAAAAAGATAAACTCGAAAAGCATTTCGTTTTAAAATCGTCAAATCACAAAAGAATAATACAAACCGAGGACATTTAAAAGAATATAATAAAATTTCAAAACCGAGTAAATAGGGGTTATCTTATGAATTCACCTACATCCGTGGAACGTAGAACTATGAAAATTTAAATGTTTTTAAACGCGAATTACAGACAAATATTTGTTATATGATAATTTAATGATGATCTCATGTTTTTCCATGCTTATTATTTTTAATACCCTCAACATCCGATTACTAAAAAGTATATTTTTTATTCCTATTACAATTTTCTTATAGTCTGTTTCAAATGCCAATTATTATTCTATGTCAAATAGCGAGTATACCGCAAAATACGCCTGCAGACATTATATTACCGTGTCAGAATAGAATAGCAGAAAGTAGGTTAATTTGGCCGGCTCCGTAGTCTTATAAAATACAACGGATTAGCAAAATATCTTGGACACAATACATAATATGTGCAAGAGAGAAAGACTAGTTATAATTGTCTTTTTTAGTGTGATTAAATAAATAATTATATAACACATTTGGAATATAAGGATAACATGCGTACTCTTATACATATTATAAATAACAAATATTTTTTCAATATTTTGCTGCTTTCTGCGAAATTCTTGAACACTTTCAGCTCTTTGGAATAAGTGACTCTCACATCGTTGGTCTGCATTTAATTGGCCGATGTGCCTTGTTCTGATCTTCCTCTTGATTGTGATTTCTTCAATTATGAATGTATGGAATTCGCCACCGTTCCCCTAGCATGCATCATATCGTCTATTATCTTTCCTTTTGATTAAGTGTTTATTAATGTTCGTTTATTTAACATCCCCATTTGTTCTTCATTAAGCTCATTGAATTTCTGTATCTTTTTTCCAACACCACACTTCTAGTCTTTTATTGTTTGTTTATTATCCACGATAACTATTCTAGAGCCAAATTGCAATAATCTGTGTTACTAAACCCTTCTTTGCGATATTCTCGTCACTACAAATAGCCGTATCGTCCGAAGGGGCACGGGAACAAGCAGTCGTGGCCAGATGAGAAAAGTCCCTTATCGACTATTTTTTTATTATTAAAATAAAATATATACAGTGTTTATTATAAATGTCACCATTTAAAATTTTAAAATTGATTCCATTCAAAGTACAGTGTTGATCGATTTCAGAAAAATGTGTGTATATTACGCGCTAAATATTTTTTAAATATTTCAAAATAATTACTCAAAACCCGAAGCTTAATATCGACAAATATATTAATAGTTTTAATGATGTATCGTCATACTGTATTCTATTTTGATGGCATCCCTGTGTTTGTATAGTCGATATGCGTATTGTCAACAACTTTTATCTTCTCGTAACGTTCAAAATACTCTCCTCGCCATTTGAGAGACTCACAAGCCGCCACCGGACCAGCGAGCGAATTTTCGAATTCCTCGATAACCGTAATAATAGTAATAATATGCATTATGCATGCCGCAATACCGCCAGAGGTTCGCGCGTGAAAAACGACTGCCGCGGGCATCTGTGGTAATATTTTAAAAATCCCGCGGAAAACGGTCGGCCGGAGACGAATCCATTCAATCAGCTAAGTGAATAACGCATTCCTTCATCCTCCCCTAAAAACCCTCTCCCCTCTATCACTCTCCTCGTAATACGACCCCGTCGATCGGCATAGTTTTATACTCGGCGTACAGTCCGCAGCGGAATTATTTCACGCGCCGTTTCATTCGACGGCGACGATGTATATAATGTTTTTCCGCCGGCACCGGCACCGCGCTCGTGCTGCGGTCAATTTCGCTGGTACTGCGGTTTCCACTAACTTGATTAAAGGCAGTCGCACTAGTTTATTGGCGAGTGTTCGTGTGGAAGTGAACAAGAAGAGGTTAGGCGGGTGGGGTGGAAAAGAGAGAGAAAACCGAAGCGCTGCGGAAAAAAAAAAAAAATTAATAAACGTCCTGTCCTTCGCCCGTTGACATTCGCGCAGGTAATAACGACTATTATATACCGACGTGAATACCTATATTATTATACGTACTCCATCGCAATAATTGAAATTAAACGAATTGCGACACTTTTTCACGCGAGACGTTCGATTCGTTTTGTACAAATAAATGTACGGCGTGTCAAGGTGGGCGGATCTAATTTCGCCCTAACGAATTTTTTTCGGAAAAAAAAAAGAGAGAGTTTCGGTTTTCGTAAATAATATATTATTCGTCATAAACGAAAGAAACATTTCGATTACCACTGTCCGCGAGTGCGTTTGATACGAGCCATTTGAAACAATGAAATGCATTCGGTTTTAATTGGGAATCTCCGGATTCAATATTAAATAATTATACACTGTCATACGAATCATTTCACTAGCACTTTAATATAAATTTCAATACAAAATCACCTACTATCGTAGTACAGTTGAATTTTATTTTCTTTGATTCAATTATTGTCTTAAAAGATGCGAAATTTAGCTCGACGTGACGATACTTTATTTGAAAAAAATGGCCATTCTCCAATCGGTTTTTCTATAGAATTGTCGATACGATCGGTTTTATTTTATTTTTATTACTCCACTCAGAATCGTTTTTCTTAATTGCAATGATTTATTGTTGGTCTCGGTTTGGAAATTAAATTACTCTCTATAACATACGAATTTTTCACATACTACAGTGGCTCAAATATATCATATGGCACGTCCGACTTTTTTTTTTTATTTACTTGGAATGTTTTACTCCGTAGAGCAATGTGAGATTTCGTCTCTCGGCTCATAAAACTTCGATACTATAGTATAATATGTTTTCGCGTTGTAAACAAATGCTAATAAAAAAAAGAAAAAATCCCGAATACGAAAAAAAAAAAAACATTTTACGAGCGACAGCAGCAGCAGCACTGTATAAACGTGCATGTACACTATGAACATAAATCCAAATTGCGTTTATTCAATTATTGTATGTGTTCGGTTTCACAGTATCCGATTTTCAATTTAATCAAAAGTGCCGGGCGAATATACCTATTGTATTCTAATTAATATTTAAACAACGGTCTTCGCGAGTGGTATAGCAGAGCAACACAAAACCAAATCTCGGATAAATAAAATAATAATAATTGTAAATTCACGAACGGGGGCAGAAGCTCTCGGGATTTTAATCGGTATTGCCGTTTTGCGCGGGACACGCCGTGTAATTATTATACGCTTCGTAGTCGGATATTATCGTCGTTTTTGTTCAAAGTGCTCTTCTATCTCGCCGTCCGTTACGATTATCGTAAAACAATTATTATTAATTCGACTGAAGTGTTTCCGCGGCTTTTAATCCCACGGGGCATCTCGTTCGGTCTGGATTTACGGAGACTGTACCAACAGAGAAACTGGTGAAAAAGTCACGTCTCGCGTACTTATGCGTGCGTACCAAATTTCGCGATACACGGTGCTTGTTTTTAAATTGTTACAATATAGTGCAGTGGGTTTTACTGGATGTGTGTTTTTTCTCTTATTCGGTTAATAAAAATGATGTGATTGTTTCCACGCGGTAGAATTACAACCCGGTGTAACTATTTATGTGACCAGTTTTTCTAAATTTCCGATAGTTTTTCTAAAACACTAAAAAAATATCTACAATAAATGACAAAGGTACATTAGTTTTATTGTTGTTGATTTCTAGGTTATTTTGGTAATACACGGGGAAAACATTTGTGACTAATACTATAATGGTTTTTCAATACAACCTTACCAGACTATTGAGCTCTGTTGAGAATTGTTTAACGTTTCCAATGTTTTATCGTTGCTCTAGGTATAATATATAACTTAATTTACCCTAAATCCCATATAACTTTCAAAAATCCATCCTGGAGCCTATACACAGTGTAAAGTTATGTCTGAATTTTTCAAACATTAATTAAATTATTCTCTTTTTTTTAAATTTAAAGATACGAAACTTCCACAAATTATAACAAATTCCAAACAAATTGTCTAATATCATTCACATGCCACATAAAAATGCGTCTAATTACTTTTTTGTGGTGATTCGTTCCAGGACCTTTACTTTATTCGAACTCGCACTTTGCGAGTTCCCAATAAATACATCCAGAAGGTATGTTGTAAAGTCCTTATAAAGTCACTGAGATTCGTTCTTCTTATTTCGTGTGAATTCTGCATGGGTATTAAAAACCTTCACGGTATTCTCGTTCTCTCAATACTAGAGTATGACATGATGCTTTGGCCTCCATTTTCTTCACTTTATTGACCGTGTCTAAAAGAAATGTCTTCAGTCTGTTACATTCACTAATAATATCCAGTAAAATCCTCGATTACACCAGTGTGCAGTATCCGTCATGTTTGTGCTATACTTGATTCGCCTGCCAACTATAAATAAATGTCGCCTCATAAATGTCCTCACCAATATTACCATGGAACTATGATCGCAGAAAAACGCATTTGCGTGTATTATATAGGAAAGCTGCATCCGTATTTAACACATTTAATCGCATTTTCCAAAAAAAAATTACCTTCTAATAAATTAGCGTTTTGCAATTTTATCTTTCTTTAACGTTTTTTCCATTATATTTTATTTTTCAGTCTTTGATTTCAAGAGTATATCATTTTCCGAAAAAATGACATTTCTGATTATTATTTTCCGGGGTTTTGGTTTCTGAAACGTTAGAGCTTTCGTATTTTATTTTCAAACTAACTGTGCACTCATGCAACCGTCGTCATCGTCGTGAGTTTTAACGCTGCCAGCGTCGAGAGAAACTGCGTTATTATTATACACGCGACCGGGCTGACGGGCCGCCGCCGCTTCACGCATCACCAGTTGCTTAGCTAATTATCATGATTATTATTATTACTGCCCTCTATCGGAAACGACGGCGCCTCCGTCCGTCAAACGCTCGGTCGAATACGGTTTGTCGCTCTCGCCAACGTCCGTTCCCCTATCGGATTTCCGGACGACCACCTTCGGGCAAACGGATCGGAGGCACGACTACGGTTGCGACGACAATTTCACAACCGTATAACCGCGTAGGAAAACCACGTCTGTGGGTTGTACATAATTGGTACCGGTATACGACGACCATCACCATTCTCAGGACTGTCCAAGGCTGATACCCACCGAACGTCCAGATTTTCGCTTTTTTAATTTTTATTACTAAGTAAAGGTGAACTAATAATAAGCATTTCAATGACTCCACCTATTCCGTTATGAAAAACTGTCCGAGTACATTTATTGTACTTAACGTTTCCATCTACCAAATTCCCTAAATGACTTGTATGTTATTTACTTGTTATTTCCCTCCCCCCCCCGGGGGGCACCAACGTGCGGATGTTAGTTATTCACGACTGTACTGTAAGATCATCTATATGAGGACCTTGCCGAAAAGCGCCACATATAAGGACGACTTTAAGACGTGAAAAGTATGATCGTGTTGAGACCCGAAGAGATTTTCGCTATGTCGGTAACGTTATTTTACATTCTGAGCGAAGCGAGGAATGCGATTTATTATTTTTAATGTTTAAAATGTTTGCAAGATTATGTGAGGTACGCAATATGCAGCAGGACAAAATCCAACGGTTTTAAAAACAAAGACACTAAGTCCCTCTAAATATTTTGCTTTTGCTTGAAAAGTCTCTATTTTTTAAATTAATTATCTCAATTAAATATTATAAATTGTATCTATCGTTTAAATTGATTTTTAAATGTTTTTTTTCTTTTCGTATGATAATAAAGTTAGGGTATAAACATATTGTTATCAGTCGGCGTAATAATAATGTAACTTGTCAGACTGACGGCATATCATTAAAGATGCCTTTAATGATAGAAATATAGATGCGTTTAACGTTTTGTAATAATAATATGGTTAATACTATTTATACCCTTAAAAAGCTGAAGCTTCTATTAGGTCACATGTATTTCAAAAATCATTTTAAATAATATCACCAAAATTGACCAATGGCCAATTTTCAAATTAAATTAAGCATTTATGAAAAAAATAATTTTATAAAACAACTCTTATAGTTGTGTAGTTTTTCGATTCGAGTTAATTTCTAAGCCGAAACAATTGAAAGAAATGCCCCTAATAATGACCACTTATAATTTATTGCGTTTGCAGCCAATCGAAAAACGCACAAAGGCTAAAATGTCAAATTTACCGACAATATTATTTTTGTACGCTGTAAAGTACCCTTTAAGTTTACAGCAATAATTTACCGCGATATTTTATCGAAAATGCCGTTTTCGTATCGTAAAGGAAATCGCTAAACATTGTGTTCGCGTGTAGACGACGGATTAAGTGATCGCCATCGCCACTTTTTTTTCGACCGTTTTTCATGTAACGCTCCTTTCGCTTTTATACGGCACCTTTTTTTTTCCGAACAATCCGCCAAACACCCTCAATGTTAAGGATATGCGCGTTGAAGTTTTTCTATTTTTTTTTTTTTTTATTTGGAAAATATTTATACGCAAGTAGTTGTTTTACTGTCTTTAAAAATTGCATTTTTTGAGAAAAAAATGTAAATAAAGTGACGTATTTGTAATATATTTTATTATTATTCCTCGCACTCTACTGAGAATCCTAAAAATAAATTACAATATATTATAATAGTTGAAAGCAGTACAAAAAGAACGGTTCTCGAATATAAATATTTATCCAAACTTAAGCCTGACTTAAACCTAACCTTATTCAACCTGATCTTAATATCCTTTTTGTACTATTTTTGAAGAAAACTACAAAAATGACGCATATTTATTAGTCATTTAGTATATTATTAGATATTTTAAAATTAACTCAACAAAAGTAATACCCATTGATTATGTTCTCTTAATAGTATTTAATTCAATAACACGTACTCTTATACAAAAATAAACATATTAATAAATACAAATTTATTTTTTTCAGATTCTAAAACAGCATTACTGAAAAGGCAAAATATTCAATCTATTTCTGTCAAGGTAAGTGTTTTTTCTTATTATAAGTTTTTTGATTTTGTTAAGTGAATATCATTGTGAGCATTGTTGTTTACCATAAACCTTGTTTTATCACGAAATAAGTACGTAATAAGCGTAAAGTAGCTTATAAAAATTAAAAACCACCGACTTTAACATGGAAATAACGTAAACATTTAGTAAAATATTAATTTTAAAAAAAGTTTGAATTTTTAAATCTTAAATATTTTTTAAAAATCCTTTTTGGAGTATATGGAAAGTCGATATGGCAGACCTCGGATAAAATGTTATTGTTTTTAGTTATTGAATAAATAAAAATTTTATTCTAAAATCACTTTGAAGGATAATTTTTCCTTGTTTATTTGAACAGTTTTTTTTTAATGAATATATGTACACAATAAATATTCTTGTAATAAATAATTCGAATGGTTTTGAATCAATAAATATTCATTTTCCCTCGAAAATTTCGTGAAAATTGTCTAAACGACTAAACGCACTATCCTCCTGTAACTATATTAGTTACTGTGACCCTCTCTTATAAGTTAACAACTTACTAATATAAATAACAATGTATATATTTTAGTAAGTTGTTGCCTTTGTAGGTATTATATAATAATAATAATATTAATACACCTTTCGTAATTGTTAAGTAAAAGGGATATTTAATCGTTATATAATACGCCTAATAAAGGATAAATCGTCTGGAGCACTACTTGTTGACACTTTCGTTACAATGAATATCGTTAAATGCGTTTTTAAGTTTTAAATTAAAAATGGATTTTCACAAAAAAAAAAAAAAAAATTATTTTTCGATTTAGTATATAATATATGATGATAGTTGATATACAATAAAGTTTGACGATAAACTTATAAATTATTGCCGTGTTCGACATTATATAAATTTAAATTATCATCATTCCGATTTTGGTCAGCAATTTCCACCACATTATTCTACGTACAACTGTAAATATCCAACCCAAGTACATATTTATAAGTTAAACATAGCGGCTATTATTGATTGAATATTCTTAATGATCGATTCTTGACGATTCATATATATGGGAATTCGTATAGTTTGAACCTATCAAAAATAATATTTCTAACTTGCACCAAAATTACTATAATATATATAATGTATCGATTATCAAGTGTTCGATTTCGAAATTATTTCATCTTCTACAGACCGAGACACATAAAACTTGCAATTTAATCTTGCAACACTGCAATGTCGTGTTCAATATTTTAAATTTTATATCATATATAGCGAAAATATTGAAATGAATTTGAAATAAATTAATTTAAACAATTTTACAGTTTTAAATTTTGAGTATAGCGCAGAAGCTTTTAGTTGGATGGTGGTACGGAGATGTGTTTTTCTTTTATACTCAGATTAAATTAGTCACCTGACGGCTAGTCGCAAGTTATTGGTTCTGTCATTTATTTTCAAGTTGAAAATGTCCAAACGAAATGCGTTTGATTTAGAAACAGTCCTCGGTACCAGTCTATATTTCATGCTATCGATATTTATTACGATTCTTTATTATGAAGTAAATTACGAGTAATATCTTTATTTCGTTATAAATTATAAATGTATTTTGAAAAAGTCAGCGCATATTACATATATCTTGCCTATTAAATATTTTGGGTCAATTTTACATCAAAATGAGCGGTAAGCGAAATTTATTATTATCAGTCCAGAATAATCGCATATTATTATTATTTGGTAATCCTTTGTACAAATTTATTTTCGGAATATTTATAAAATATTCCAAGTCGGGCACATTCGTCTAATATTTGGTATATTGGTTTATTAACCGGGGAATGTTATAGAAAATATCGCATGTCTATATACATAAGTAGAATAATATAATATTTGGAATGTAAAGTGGGATGATCCTAAATTCATAAACGAAAATAAAAATCAGATAATTTTGAATGAGAACTCTCCCCAGTTTTGTTATTCAATATAATTCAATTAAAGTAATGTAGTATTTTTACATAAGACTGTACAAAACCTTAAATATAGAATATACAATTATTTATGAAAATACCAAGCCATAGATTTTCGCAAATTCATAATTTTCTAAGAAAATCGCAATATTTAATGAAGTATTTTAAATGTTTTTTAAATTTACGAAATATTTAGAAAAAAAAATTGTATAGCCCATTGTGTATTCTATATTTAAATTCTAGTACATTTGTAGCAAATGCTACAGTTCTTAAAGAAAATTAGAAAAAAACTGTCAAACTACCCTCTGTTATTGGTTATTTTTTAATAATTTCGTGGCACGTGAAGTCGTTGAGCTATCGTCACTAAATTTTATCGAAATTGCTCTCTCATATCGACAAACCAAAATAGGAGAATATATATGCTCAATAATATGCACAATCATAACAATCATAACTTTTTTTCCTTCGTCCATAAAATTAGACTAGGGTGGAATAAGGTATTGTCTGGTAGATTTTCTTTTCGTGTGCCGACGCTTGAAATAACACATTAGTGACGACTTCTGTTCCGTATATCGAACCAAACAGTAATATATTCAGGCAGTTGTAATAATTAATTGTTTTTTTTTCCCTTCGAGGAGTTATGTATACGTATTATACGTAGGTATAGTGTCAATAAAACGAATAATAAATATAAATTGTTTATTTCTCATCGAATAAGTAGGTCGCGCGATAACCTCGCGACGAACGAAATATCATTTTTTTTTTTTTTTTTTTTTTAGAATAGACACCGTCGTTGTCTTCGTCGTCATGTCGGAATTCATTGTGCTTGTATTTTTTTTTTTTCGAATACAATATACTATTTTCATTATTATGCACTGTTTCACCGTTAGTACAACGTTGTTCTATTGTACGGGAGACACCACGCGTGCTGCACTTATATTATCAATCACTGAATATTATTTTATAGATACATTACTATATGTACAGAAAAATGGACCGTGAAATTTAATATTATAATATATCGTAAGCGTATAAATAAAGTAGTACCGAGGTGCCGTCGACCAACTCTTGAGGCCACGTCATGTGTCCCAACTGCGTTCCTTGTACCTACTCAAAACGAACCACATAGACACGAAAAATGGAATATTCGAATATTCGATTAGTTTATTGATCATACATTTATAATATCGATAATATACTATTTAAAATATACAGTCACGTTATATAGGATTTTAGATTCTGAGTGGAATGGAGAAGCTTATGGTTTTACAAAGATGTTCATTTTTTTTAATATTATTTTTTTGTCACATGCAAGTATAAATTTATATATTTAGAAAAAAAAAAAAAAGATAAACTTATTATGTCATTGAACGTCGTTTAATTAACTAAATAAAAACACGGGCAAAAGTCTCTTATAAAACATAGACAAGAAATGAAAAAAATTCAAATATGTTTTCAAAATTAAATTTGTTGGCGAACGATTGTAGGTGAATTCACTCATTTAGACTTATAAGGTTTAAAATGTCATAGTCGTCTATATAAAATAAGTCTACCTCTGTCCCTTAACTGGTTATCGAGTAGTAGATTAGTTTAAAAGTCTTATCATATACACGTTTCAAGTATAGAAAACATTGATATTTTGTCCTATTTACTACATTACATATTACAGTAAATTTTACTAGGTAGGTACATAAACCTAGAATATCGCGGAAGCATGATTATGTTTATGCTTCTTAAAAATAAAATTGCGAACCACACGCGGGTATCTTATCGATCATCGAGTTCACAAGTATAATATAATAGGTGTTCTGGGGTATGAAAACCGTTAATGAAACTTGGAAATCGGAGAGGTAGGTGGTAACTTGAGAATTTGTTCAAGTTTACGTTTCACTGCACTCGAAATTCCGTTATAAGATATCGTCTTACACGCTCGTCACGTAATTATCTCTTATTATAATATTCTGTTAGTCTACTACCGTTGGACTTTTGTACTTTTTTTTTTTTTTACTTGATTTCGTTAGAACGTTATACAATACCTGCACGGCTAGATTTTATCATTAATTTGTTTATAACAATGTAAATAGAGTAAATTATTGGATTGTGCAGTATAAATATGTATTGGCTGAATTACTGCTAAACAGAAGTTTAATCAAAATTACTTTACATACTATATGTAATGTATATTGTATATACTAAATACTTTCTGGAATTATTTTTCAATAGTTTTTTTTCGACATAAAATATTATATTTTCATTATTATTAATATTTGATTATTTTAAATCTTCATAAAGCCGTTAGATTTTGAGAAACTGAACAACCCTCGTGATATTGTAAACATATATTGCGATCTAATTAGTATTATTTTGTTTCGATTTACAATATCGGTAACGTGATGACAGTGAAATTTATATGGGGGAGGGGGGGGTTACAAAGGTATTTCCCCTCCCACCCACTAACAAGCATATTTATTATTGATTACTTGTTTATTTTCTTTTGTTAATTCCTATTACCCATGTACTGTTGTCAACAATATAACCGTACGGGTAGTATTCAGTCATAGATTTTTGATGTATCCAGCGTCCTCTAGGACGGGGCGTTATGAGACGGACGGACAGCGACGTCGCATAAAGCGTAATGAATAAAAATAAATAAATAATAACAATAATATATCATTAAGCCACGTCCGTATATCACGGTGTACACCGGTGACGGGGTGGACGCGGCGTAAAAGTGGCAAACGGTGTATGAGGCCTCTTTTAACGCGCGCGCGTGTGTATGATAATAATAATAATAATAATAATAATAATAATAATAGTATAACCGCATAATGGATGTTGAGAGTTTTTCTCGCGCAGCGCTTTCGCCGTTGTTTTTATTTTTGACGGGGGCGCGGGTTGGCGAGCAACAACGCCGCGAAACATCACATCGGATGATGAATTTCATACGCTGCGTCATTGTTTCCGCGCGCGGAAGCTGACGTTTTAATGGAATCGCCGCCGCCGCCGCCGAGTATACGTCACGGCTGCGCGTCGCGGCGTAATGGTCGGCGAACGTCGGCCGCGCGTCACGTCGCCAATCCACGCGACGCCGACGGCGGCCTTATCCGCGGGGCCCGTTTGTAGAGCGGTCCGGGTACAACACGTGTCGGCCGACCGCGGATTTCCCGCGATTTATTATTTTTCCCG